GGGTCGGAACTCGGTATATGAAAAGAGGTGTGTCCGGTATTGGAAGCGTAAGGACCGCTTGGGATCCGTCCGTCGGAACCCATGAATCATTGAATTCGAACCAGTCCAGTGCCACTGAAATAATAAAGTCTTGAGAAGCGAAATCTTGTCCAAGAAGGTGTCGCATGAATTGTGCCAGGTAGATGTGCGATGATATGAATATCTAATTTTGCTTAATAAGTAGTTGCAGTCCATCGAAGAGGAACTCCATCATTTCCAATTTCGTAAGGTTTGCTGGATGCTTGTCTGGGTGGTAGAGCCCATCTTGCTCTTCCTGGTTTGCGGTCGTCCAACTTCCCATTTTTTCTCATGGCCATCTCCATAACTGCAATTCGAATGAAATCACTGTTCTCCCTCATGTCGCGTTGACGTGCAACAGGGCCGGTCGCGACCTCGGCAAAGGCTTCCTCGGAATTCCCTTGTCTGCGCCTATTGAGTCCAGTTGGTGGAGTATCTTTTGATGACTTGGAAACCTTGTATGTTTGCATTTGAATAGATGCTGTGCATTGTGTAGCACTCATTGTTTGGGTAAGAGATGTTGGCACATGAGCATCCGTGGGAGCATTTGTTGTGGGGTTGAGATACCGACGTAGTGCTGGAGTGGGTGCATCAGCCAGCAGAGGTGGCATCCTTTCATCCGTAAATGGGACCTTCGGGTCAATTGACATGATAGATCTTGTAAGAAAATCATCAGGCGTAATCATAGGTGTTGTGAGACTCGAAAATGATTTTGCCGCAGACCTTAAAGCACGCAGTGATGCAGTTAAATTTGATTTAAAGGCGGACTTGCGGCGTGGGGGTTCGACGCCAGTAGTATTTTGTTGATCTTTGGGTGAATCGGATGGTCTTTGAAAGACTCTAAAGTCAAGCTCTTCAACGTCGACATCTGATAAAGGATGGTCGTGCAGAGTGTCCTTGCCCGCAAATGTTGGCTGGTACCTCCTGGTCGGTAGAGATCTTCTCCCTCTTGAACTCGGTGTTAATATTGAACCTGGTGGGGTTGATGCATCACTAAGGGAAGCATCATCCAAAGATGGTACAGACTCGCTCGATGTAGTTCTGCTTGATATGACGGATCCTGGACCATTCTCCGAGCTGTAACAATCGGTCGAATCGGTTTCTTCTGGAGGGCTCAACAATAATTCCATGGGACTCATACCAAATGTTATACTTAGTTCTTTCTCCGATACAGCAGTGTGTTTTAATATGGCATCTACTGTGAGTCTTTGTCTCGATGTACCATGTGTGCGAGCATTCCGACTTGATCTGGGAGGCGGAATGGCTGTAATCGCCAATAAGGCAGCGACCGAGGGAGGAATAGCATCCGGCGAATGGGCATCGTAGGGGCGACGACTCGATCGCACAGAATGATTCTTGGTAGCTTGACGACGATCCTTCCTTGGCTCGAATCTTAAACCATTTTTGAAACTATCGTGGTGGCTTCTTGTAGGTATTACCACTGGCGAAGAGGTAAAAGTGATCGTAGCCTCAGTACCGAAAGTTGACTTTGGCATGATATCTGATCTTTGTTCATAACTGATATGGGAATTTGAGTTGGTAGAAGAAGAAGCCGGAGTTGAAGTCGAAGGTTTCGATTTCGGCTTTTGTGTTGTGAATAATGAGAATGAGGTAGGCATCTTGTTGCTCGCGTGCCCTGAGAGTTACCGCATAAACCAGTTGTGTGTAATTATTACTTGATAGAAACCAAATCTGTCGGGGATTTGAATAATACGTTCAACGAGATTCGTTCTTGGAAAAGCAGAAAGGATTTTGAATGGAAAACAGCTTATAAAATCTTATCGGAAGAGATATCGAGTTGTTTTGCATAATTTCCCAATGGACAATACTGAAAGTCAATGATCGCAGTACTCGGATTGTACAGTGATTCAAGAGCTTAGCATGGTATGGTTGCCGGATAACGGGGGGAGATGAATGTTGATATGATAACACCCAGGGAAATGTTACTACTATATAGTAGTTCTATGGTCGATTTGATAGAAGCAGGAGTGTATTGAATTCAACCTTTTGATCTAAAAAGGTGTATTGGGATGACCACACGGGGAAATGAGAAGGAGATAGGAAGAGGAATGCAGATGTGTGTTTATTAAGCATAAATCAATCGAGAGCGAGTTCAGCTGATTTGAAGTGAATCACTAGATACTTAGGTAGGTACTAAGTACTTTAAAATGAAGGCTAATAAGATACCGGTAGTTCGTAAGTTTGTAACTTGGTAGGAATGACTTTGAGGAAGGGGCCGATACGATAGCCTTATTAAAAGATAAGCTAGGAAGGAGAGAAGGCAGGAAGGCAGGAAGAGAAGGGAGGAGGAGATAAGCGATGATAATAATAATGATGATGAATCTACTTGGCTCCTTTGAGATTCCTAGTGCGTACGAAGTAGATTTGACTTGACTGACTGTTTGACCGAGACTGAGACTGGTTTTGACTGACTGACTGACTGATTGATTGATTGATTGATTGACTGGAGACTTTATTGACAATTGGTATCAGCTTGCAAAGGGAGGGAAACCTGGAGTAATAAACTATCCTCTTGTGTTTACTATCTAATGGTCACTAGTATGCAGATCGGATAAGCTTTGGGGCATTGAGAATCGATCCAGTGCGAAAGTACGTCAATTGTTGTCAATGGATCTACCCAATTCAAGGCTTGGAGTCAATCAAAGCTAAGAAGATTGGACCGACCAGATTAGATTAGAAAGTTAAGTCATGGAAAGACATATATATACTCGAGTAAGAGCTTTGGACGTTGCCTTTTCTTGTTGTCTTCTCCAATAATGATAAAGGGAGAGGAAAGGAAAGGAAGATCTCATCTGTTTGTCTGATTATGAATGAAGCAATGGATTATCAACATATGGCTTGTGCTGTGCTGTACTGTGCTGCTGTGCTGTATTGTATTGTATTGTCTTGTTTTGTCTTATATTGTCTGTATTGTCTGTATTGTCTGTATTGTCTGTATTGTCTGTATTGTCTGTATTGTCTGTATTATCTATATTGTCTGTATTGTCTTGTATTGTATTGTATTGTACAGTACTTGCACACTTCCCTCTAGACTTCCTCACTTATTACTGTATTCGATTCTCTTCCGTATCACATAATAATTCGGATAATATGCAAAAGCGACCCTGATCCATTCTTTTTCTACCCATCTTTTTCATACATCCTTGATCGCCTTGAGGAACTTCCTTCGAGAAGGCTTACAAAGGGACTATAGTCTGTAGCTCATTACTTGCCAGGGTCAAGGCAAAAGGATGATGATGCTGTTTTTATTTGGGTATGTGGAGAATCAAGATAAAATCTGTATCAGCTGGATCTGTATCCGTCACAGCGTGTTCGCATTCATACACTTCTTTTTCCTAATATGGTGATTTTTCTTCAACGGTTATGGAGTTCTGTAATCTGCCAATTTATTAAACTTTCCTACATTCGCCTAAGAATTCAAGCAGCATCATGGATCATCATATCATTCAGAATCACATGATTGATTTGTATCATTGTTTTTCCTTGCGTGCGTGTCGTTGGTCGAGTTGATCGTCCTCGTCTTACGGTGATGAGACGACCTTCTCTCTGGATAATCTTCTTCTTCGTTGGCTCAGCTCAACTTGGTTGGTACCTAATATGTTACCTACGAGTCTGCGAGCCTGCTTCCTCGCTACTCCTATACATCGGTACGCACGACGAGGTATGTGATACTAACTGCATCATCATTATTATTCATGAACGCGACCGGAAGTCCGGATACACAACTTGGAGGTGGATGTGTGCATATGGATATGGATATGGATATGGATATGAATCTATTCAATCTCAATCTCAATCAAATCTCAGCCTGTAACCGCTTTGGAGATGTTCATTCACCCTGTTGTATCTGTGTTCGTACCCAAGCCATTTATTGTCCTATCATTTGATTTCCCATGACTGTACTACCGTACAGAATACGCAGAAAAGAGGAGGAGTCAATCTCGCCCTATATCCACCTTCCTGTTGTATGAGCTGAAATGGAATTGAATGCTGTGTTCCCTCAACAACTAATAAATTGCCGGATGGATACCTACCTGGGAACATCATGTACATTGATACATTGGTATACGGAGTATTGGTAACTGACATTGGTGCATCTTGGGACCTTGGGATCTTGGGCGTTTGACCTTTTTTTTTTTCTTTCGTTCAATGTGGTCCTGTGGGTCATGAAATCCTTCATGCTTCATCAAATGCCATCTCTCTGCATTTTGATTGTTTCCTTCCCTATCACAAGAAAACTCTTTGGCCACGTCAGTCAACTGATCCGCTCTGTTGATTTTTTTCGGATCTTTTATTTGTTTCATCATTTTCATGGTTAGGTTGTCGCGCCTGTTGGGCGTGGAGTTTTTTTACTGTCTGCACGATATAATTACCCGAAATTGAAATTCAACAAAAGGTCAATCATCAATCAAACATTTCCGACCAGAGGTCCTTTTTTCTTGATAGGTTTTATGTTTTTTTTGTTTGTTTTTGGGGGGGGGGGGGGGGAGATATGGTCTGATTTTGGAAAGATATCTTTCCTTGCCCTTGTTTGTATTTGATTGAAAATTTTAAAGCAGCTTCCAAGGTTGTGCAGTTACATGATCATATCATAGTTAAGAAAGTCATAATTAACCCTTGTAGTCCCAAGGATAAAGATGCTGATTTTCCGGCATCCTGTACGGGGAAACTTTAGATTCTCCACATCTCATACAAATTCGACTGAGGAATCAGGATAGGCTCAGGAGTCAGAACTCACAAATACAATCCTGTCGCATGCTTTTCATTTCCTACAAGATACAAACCCACAAACCCACAAACATGCAAACATGCAAAAACCAAGGGTCTTTTGAAAAAGGCTTAAGTTGGGATCAGCAGAGCTTTCTGACTCACTTCCCCATGCATTACCCTTGAAGAACTCCGAGCAATCCAAGCAATCAAAAATGTTCTGCTTACAACAAATTGCATGTCAGACTTTTACACTTTTTCCCCACGATATCACATTCATACTTCCCGTCCCAAAACGCCAAACAGCTGAAGAGGCTCCTGCAAGTGTATGCTTAGGGAATCCTGTTATCAACAAGATATGATAGGATAGAAAATGTCCAGGACGATCCACTTTCCAGGTACCAAGGAAGTTCGAACTTCCTCATTTGTTCTCGAAGAAGCATGACATGCTCAAAATTATCTTCGCATCTCGCCTCGTCGGCACTGTTATGTGCAAATCGACGATCGTTGCATTTCTGCCCAGGTGTGATGGTCAAATATGCCCAGAAGAACGTGATAGCTCATTTTCTGGGTCGCACCAGAAACCTCTCTGGTTACATTCCGCAGTCCGCATCTCCAATCTCTATACAGGATCAAGAAGGGATGGCAATTGGCAGATAAGACATTTCACGATCGTGTCGGTACTGACATGCCAAGATTCTCGCATTGCTTATCTCGTGGATCGGCTAGGACCGACATAGTGCGAGAATCTGGGGTTTGAAAAGGTCCTCGTGAACTGGTCGGCTTACCACTTGAAGAAATGGGGGCTGGTTGTAATGATTAGGCTATGTGCAGTTTCGTACCACCAAACAGAGTTGTGTGAAGGTTGGGGCTTAGAGCAGGCAGGTGAACAATTGGCATTGAAGAATATCCTCGTGATGATATTTCACGTGATATACGAGGTCTTTGGGATGAGCTCTCATGTCTTTATTCAAAAGTCTTGATCCATCTCCCGATCTTGTTCATACCTAGATGTAAGATCTCAAGGTATGTTAGATACCACGAGGATAGTAATACAAAAATCGTAGCATGGGTTAGCAATAATATAACTACTGAATAATTCGAACAATTCCATCTCAGATCTACAGACTCTACTCAAAGAGCCGGAGAATTCGTTGTAAAGGGCACCGCGTATAAGTATCTAAATCCTTGCTCTTCCCTTACTCTTCAAAAGGACATATGTAATCATGTCTATAGAATGAGATGTGAAAGAAATATTCAACTTCTAGAGGAGTGCTTTCCAATGTGGATATGCCTGCTAGGCATACAGTATCGGCTGAAAGATTCAAGGAATTGTGGAGGTAGATACTGTCGTGTTTTTGAGTTTTAAGTTTGAACTTATTGGGAGGTTCTTGGACATGGTAGCTAGCTGGCTCGATTGAGAAGACTACTTTTTCTTCTGAGAGGATATAAAGGCTAGTAAATAGTATTGTATGAGAGGATGTATACATTTCTACACTCTATACTCTATCGTATGCAACACCCTCTCCAAATTTTCCTTCTCTCATCTCTACGATGAGCACGCCCGAGTAGAATTAATCCCATACGTCGCATTTGCACTTGGCGAAAAATCCATCAAAAGCTGCACCATATAGCACCCCGCCCCCAAATCCACCGCCGTCTCAAACCCACGACTTCGCGCAATCCCCTTGAGCGTATACGTAGTATCATTATCAGCACTCCCACTATAGATATTCCACCCCGCGACATGCGTCGCGCCATTCCAACTCATGTACGCGGTTCCGTTCTGCAAAACTAGAAGCTGCGGCGCGGTCTTGGGCTCACCGTACCAAGATGCTTTTTGGGCCTGGTAAGTGGCGACCTCGTTGTCGGCACCGAAAGTGGCTTGCCACTTGAAGGCTGTTTGGTTGAGGCCTGGTCCGGCTTGCCATTCTCGGAGAATGGGGAGTTGGCCGTAGGACATGAAGCGGCTGGTGGCGTTTTGATGGTTGGGGAGGTAGTGGGAGGAGCTCCAGGAGTCGCTGAAGAGGGAGGTGGATTCGTTGTAGGTGTTTAGGGAGAGGGGGCTGTAGGTTTTGCTCGCGGGGTGTTCGAGGTAAAACTCGTGGCGGACGGGTGGGTGCGGTGTTTTGAGCATTTCCCCCGGTGGTACCGGCGTAGTCGTGGTTGCCAAAGTTGGAGAACATGGTGAAGTTTTCTTCGAAATCGGGGACGCGAGTGTGGTATTGCCAGCTCTGTGATTGAGACGAATTAGTGGGTGGTTGAGTAAAAGTAAGTGAGTTTGGACTTACAAAGGTAGCTTCTTCTGGGACAGCACCAAAATCTCTACCATAGATACCATTGTAATTCCACCATAAATATCATTGTAGTTCCACACAATATCACCACTCGATCGATCAATCGCAAAAACATCCTAAGTATGTCTTCCATTGACTAAAAGCTTATCCGTACCGTCGGGAGAAACAGAATTATTATAAACATAATCCCACGCAACGCTTTCATAAGCCGCCATATCCGTCAACGGCAACTGCGACGCATTCAAAGGAATATGATCTAGCGCGCTCCATTTCCAAATCGACTCCGAAGTCGCGATATCAATCTCATGAATCTGAACATCGAGATATCCATCAGCAGAACCATTCACAGAGCTCAAATCCATCTGCGTAAGATTGTACACCGTCGCTAACAACGTCCCCCACGGCGTCAAATACTGTTCATTAAAATCGATATCGCAATCATGCGGCACGTCCTCTTAAACTCGGATCCCCAAATTAGGACACACAACCGCAACAGGCTCATAATGTTAATCGAGAATCGTCAGGTTTCCATACCCGATACTCGCATTTTGACCCTCCAACACATAGCCATTCCAATACGTCAAGTAATCCGATCCATTCAGCGACTAGGGCTGCATATTGGAATACTATACCGGGCCCAATGGATCGGAATTCGGTCCCTGCCATATGAAATCGCCCCGGCGGGACATGAGGAGGGGCGTGGTATCTTTTGTTGCATTTGCCCTGGCGAAATTCACGGGGGTGAGCGCGATGGAGCCGGGCTCTAGGGATTCGGCGTTCCAGAGGATTTCGAAAACAGGGGGGTGTGCGTCGGGGAGGGGTTGGTAGATGTGCCATGGTCAGGTGGCATCGTCGGTTGAGTTATCGAAGAGAATGGATGGGCGACTGGTTAGGGGAGGGATGGGTGCAGGTGCATTGTTGTAGGTTGCTGATGTGAGGGAGAAGATGGCGAGGATGGAAAAAGTAGCGAGGGCCATGATGTTTGGGAGATGAGACGGGCTAGGGGACTTGGCGTCCTGGGGAGGTTATATACTCTTATGTGTGGGTGTAAGTTGCCGGGGCTTCTCGAGGAGGGGGACTTGAACGCGTAGGTGTAATCTGGATTAGTTGAGATGGATATACCTCTCTTTCATGCGGGCTTTACCCATAAACATGGGTGCTTATGCTTTGCTTGGAGTCAGATCGTAATATAGTATATCCTACCAACAAACCAACCTCTCACCGAAACCCAACTCGGGAGAAACCTCTTCCATCCAATGATTTTCCTCACTCCCTACAGTAATCCACACGCTTCGCATTTATCTCCATCATCCATAATTCATTTTCCCTCTCAACAATATCCAGATACTTTTATAGCTTACAGATTCCGGAACTGAAATACCGCGGTATCCTTCTCAATTTTAACATCAGAGATTATCCAGGATTTTCCTAAATCTTACTAGCACCAACTCAAACTCAAGTATTTCCGTTTACTTCAAGCTGGATTGGCGTTTTTTTGATTGGCATCATATTAATGTATATAATGTTTGTCTACATACAAAGAAGTTCGTCGCGACCGAATAGATACTTGATGCGATGAATATTGATTGATGGTCGTGGGCGAGGTGGACTTGTGGACCCGCTAATTCTCTCGCGTATTTGTCTCGTTTCGTTTCGTTTCGTTTCGAGGAGATGTATGTACCGTGTTGATGCCGGTAGTGAAAGCTTGTAGGAATGTATACGGATACGGATATATATATTTTCCACTTGTTTGTAAGCTTTTTAGAGGGTTTAGAGTTCGGAGTTATATTTGGGGGGGGGGGGGGTTCGGAGATTGTAGTTGGGATTTTAAGACGTCGTGTTGGATTCGGGTGGTAGAGGGATGGGTGGATGCTTCAGTGGCGAAGGAAGGGAAGTAAGCTTTGGGTTAAAGGGGAGAAGGGCTGGGATTCTTTTGGAGATGATGTGAAGTGCTTGCTCATTCCGTTTTTTTGTCTTTTTTTTTTTTAATTACACACACTTTATCTGTTGATGTTTAGATTGATTGTAATAGGATATATATTTTATGCATTCACAAATACACCTTAATGGCATCGACGACTTAATTCGGGATTTCATCATAGATATCAGTTTATTTCTTCCATGTCATGCTGTGAAGTTTTGAACGATATATATACCTTGGTATATACGACACTCTTTTCCTGGAAAAATAAACATACCGCAGCCGAATTCACATAACGTATAACGTCTCCATGTGTTTTGTAAAGCACATTAACAGACACGGACACTGAAGGGTATCGAGTTGCAAAAATTTATATTTTACTTTGTATTTTTAATATAATGTAGACAATAGAATAATGATTTTACTCATCTCTCTCTCAATGGAAAGGCACACTTACACTGCACGCATCTATGAAACCGAACTGCGAGGTGTTTTCACGAGAATGATGAGGTGAATGCACTTCCTAGGAACCGGTAAAGTACGAAGGATCGCGATGAGATCTGGTATTATATTGAACCTAACAGGATTCGATCCTTGAATACCGTCGCCGAAGAAAAAGAAGAAGATCGAGTGTTTGACGCATGCATAGTAAAAAAATCATTTTCATCCTCAGGAACCTTTGTATTATATTGCATTAGCAGCCCGCCATGATCTCATTCAGCTACGAAGTGAGAACTTTGATTTTGAAGTGAATGTGATGGAAATAGATATGAGATATCTGATCTTGGTATTTGGAATAACTTCCCAAGAATACTAGTCTAGAAAGCTTAACTCGACGTAACTATACTGCTCCTTCCTCAGGATACAGATACAAATGTCTTAGTTTAGAAATAGTACAGCAAGTATCCATTTAACTCTATCACTAGGTAGTCTTCTTGAATCTTTCATTCAACCGTGAGTTCCGACACGTATTTTGTACACCTGTAGATTAACCCATATTTTTTGTGCCACATTGAGAAGAATTTTTCAATCAAGTGTATGACAAAGTAGCAGGTTGCAAGCTCATACTAATAAGAAGAGCAGATACGGATATTGAGTCGAGAAGCTGTACTGTGCTTCTGATAGGGATCATAGTGAGTGGTATAGCCATTTCATGAGTACCGGTTGGCACCCAAGGCCTAGGACTATATCTATGTACAGAAGGCCATGCGCAAAGTACGACAAAGTTCACGTGACAACCTGTCAATTTCGCGCTTAGCTAGGCAACCGTAAGCTTTTGAGTATCGAAAAGGTCTTCTTAAGCATCAGCTTTCAATCACTTCAGATTCAATTATTCTCAACATCATGAATCATGTCTTCCAGTCAACAAAACAGAAACAAAAAGCCTGACGCTGAGGCTATAGCTGATGATGAACGTCAATATGCTCATAGCACCATTAGTAAAGAGGAGCTTAACGACAAGTAAGTCGAACAATTCAATTCAATCTAGATATGATCAAAATCTAATAGAAAATAAGATATCCAAATCGTCCTCATAATCATGGAAAAACATTAGCATTCCATGAATTGTTTCAATCACTCTTCGATCCTCTTGAAGCCAACAAGAATAAAAAGCCAGGTCCAGCGACTGCGCGCAAAAAATTAGGACCACATGGACCTAACAATCTTTCTCCTAATGAAATACGAAGAAACATTATCATCCGATTTATGTCGCGATGGCGCGACCAAGTAGGCGATGATTTCTTTCCCGCTTTACGCTTGATCATCCCGGAGAAAGATCGCGATAGAGCTATGTATGGACTAAAAGAAGCTTCGCTTGCCAAACTCATTATCAAGCTTTTGAATCTGTCTAAAGATTCGGATGATGGGTATAATCTTATGAATTGGAAACTTCCGGCGCGAGGTCCTCCGAGTGCCAATTCGGGGGATTTTCCGGGTAGGTGTTATGAGGTTTTTAGCAAAGAGACCAATGAGACAGAAGGTGGGAAATATGAGTATTGGGGAAGTTAATGAGATGCTTGACAAACTTGCTTTGGCGCAAAAAGAAGGAAATCAATTGCCGATTTTTCGGGAATTTTATCAGAGGATGAATCCGGCTGAGTTGGTTTGGTTAATTCGAATGATCCTTCGACAGATGAAAATTGGAGCTTCGGAAAAGACGTTTCTTAATGTAAGTCGGTGTCAAATGCTTCTATTATTTTACTAATTTATTTTCTATAGCTTTGGCATCCAGATGGAGAGGCGCTTTTTAATGTCTCTTCTAGTCTCCGTAGAGTTTGTTGGGAACTCACAGATCCTAATGTTACTTTAAAAGCTGACGAGACAGGTGTCGAATTGGGATCGTGCTTTCAACCTCAACTTGCACAATTTATGGCACCTTCATTTGATAAAATGGTTGAAAAAATGTGTCCTCAAGATACCAAGGGCAAGAATAACGAGATTGAATTTTGGATTGAAGAGAAATTAGACGGCGAAAGAATCCAAATGCACATGGAAGAAAATGATGATGTGCCAGGAGGTCGCCGATTCACATGGTGGTCTCGAAAAGGCAAAGATTATACATATCTCTATGGAAATAGCTTCGAAGACGATAATGCAGCACTAACAAGACATATGAAAAAGGCTTTCGATCCAAGAGTAACAAGTATTATATTAGATGGAGAGATGATCACATGGGATCCCATTACGAATAAGATAGTGGCATTTGGTACTTTGAAGACAGCCGCGATATCAGGAGGGAAAGATCCATTCTCGGCTACAGCTGCTAGGCCAGTATTCAAAGTCTTCGACTGCTTGTACTTGAATGGTGATAATATCACAAAACACACTTTGAGGGATAGGCGAAACGCATTGGAGGCAGCGGTTCACAACGTTGAAGGACGAATTGAAAAACATGATTTCAAGCCCGCCAAATCAGCTTCTGAAATTGATCCTGCTTTGCGGAAAATCGTGGCTGAGGGCTCTGAAGGACTGGTTTTGAAGAATCCACGCTCAATGTATCGACTAAACAGTCGAAATGATGATTGGATGAAAGTCAAGCCTGAATACATGACTGGATTTGGAGAATCTTTGGATTGTATAATCATTGGTGGATATTATGGATCAGGTCATCGGGGAGGAAATTTATCATCATTCCTATGCGGTTTGCGTGTTAACGAGAAACAAATCAAAACTGGTATGATTGCTCCCCTTTCTCCAATCGACAAACAAAAACTAAATCACAGAACAGGAGCAAATCCCATGAAATGTTTTTCTTTCTTCAGAGTTGGCGGTGGATTTAATGCAGATGACTATGCCGCTATCCGTCATCAAACCGACGGAAAATGGCACAAATGGGACATCAAATCCCCACCTACAGAATTCATAGAACTAGCCGGCTCTCATCAAGAGAAAGAACGACCAGATGTATGGATCAAAGCAGATGATTCCATCGTTGTAGAAGTCAAAGCTGCATCAGTAGGCATATCCGACTCTTTCCGCACGAATTACACATTACGATTTCCGCGTTTCAAGCGGTTACGTCCAGATAAAGATTGGAAGAGTGCACTTTCAATTGAAGAATTCATGGAGCTAAAAGCTAAAGTTGAGGAGGGGAAAGAAGACGAATTCAAAGTCGATAAGAAGAAAAGAAGTTCGAAGCGAGTCAAGAGAGAACATATTATCGCCGGCACAGAAAATGTCGGGAAAACAGAATACGTGGGGCCAAACACGGATGTATTTAAAGGACTCAGTTTCTGCGTGTTAAGCGAGATGATTCATCCTTATAAGAAATCTAAAGTGGAAATTGAAAAAATCATCAAGGAAAATGGTGGAAATATCTTTCAATCTCCTACCGCAAAAGAAGACATAATCGTCATAGCCGATAAACGCGTTGTTAAAGTCGCCGCTCTGATGAACGCCAAGAAAACTAGTATCGTAAAACCACAATGGGTGTTACACGCCGTTACGCAAAGAGAATCAGATGCCACACAGGGGAGAACATCTCGATTTATAATCCCCTTCGAGATGATGCACATGCTATACTGCAGGGACGAAGACAAAGAGGAAATCGAGGCAAACTCAGATGAACACGGTGATCCATATTACCGGGACGTGGGACCTTTGGAATACCAAGGAATCATAGAAAACATAGCTAGAGTCGAAGATAAAACTCCCACGCAATATCTACAAGATATGCTGGTGAAACAAGGCATCGATATGACGGAATTCAAGGGGAGTATGTTTTGGGGCTGCAAGGCAATTTTTGTAGTTGGGGAATTAATGACGTTCGATATGGATATGGATGTGCGGATCGAATTTGAACATTTCCGGATTGCGAGCGGGAAGATTGTAGAGGGAGAGGAAGTCGATGTCGATATCGATATCAAAAGAAAAGTTATGGAAGAAGGCATTACGCATATTTTCTTTTCAGACGATAAACAAGAGCGGCGACTAGGGGAAATAAAAAAAGAACTTGGTGCTTGCTCACCGTTTCTTCTGAGCTGGAGATGGATTCGTGATTCTTGGAAAAATGAGAAGAAAGTGGATGAGGGCCCGTATTTGGTTTAAGTGGTTTGTGGATTGGTTTGATATGAGTTAGGGGTTGGTGGGATTTTTGATTGGGGGGGGGGGTTATTTATATCTGGAGTTGGGAAAAGTCGAAGAAGATACCGGGATTTGGATTTGAATTTGGATTCGGGAATGCTAATAGGGGGTCTTGCGTTCATTGCATACTAAACGAATTATTGGACTGTTAAAGTATAATGAATATCATGAATACATCATCATATAATTTATACAACCCATCCCATCCCATTCTATTCTATTCCATCAAAATTTGAAACTGAGAAAATAGTATTATTGAAAATATCTCAATATTTAGTGCACTATAATATTATCCGTACTCGAAAAATCGATCAAGTATCTACTATAACATCAAACATCCAAGTTCACATCTACCACATATGTAATCTTACAACGGACATCAGGATTCAGGAGTACAAGACAAGACGGGATCAAAAGGAGATACTGCATATAACATATAAAGATCGCAATTTCGCAAAGGGGAAGTACAGACGTACAAAAAAAGAAAGGGAGAGCGGATATTAAGGTCAGAAGAATACACATCCACATATCCCCCCCTCCCTTTTCTGAGGAGAAGCTCTCCGGAATACCTACTTACCTGTTTATCTACCCCAGTAATAAGCGAGGGAATCAAAGCAAGCCCATATATCCTATTTCAAAAAGAGAACGGCAAAGAGAGCTCAGGAGAATATCATACCTAGGTACATAATGGATATGATCTTACAGATATACATAGTGCATACATATGCATAATACTGACACGCGAGACATTCATATAGGTATCGAAAAGCAAGCCTCCCCAATACGAGGGAAAAAAACCCTCGAATACTTCAGTTGTACTCTACATTCACATTCACATTCGCATTCACACTAAACCCATCTCCAAACGAACGTTCATGTGATGTCTCGTTTCATATTTGATATTTAACTACATGACAAGACCTCTGTATTCATATCCACTCATCTCATAGAATATGTGTGAATCATGGAAAAACGCCTGATACATCCCCCAGTCCCAACCATCCATCCAAGCCAAGGCCATTCCACTCATCTCTCACTTATCCATCCCTTCCTTTTACTCCTACATATCCCCTCCCAGACCGATTACAAAAAGAGAATGTTGCTGAAAAGAAAGCACAAGATGGTATGTTGGAAAGACAAAATCAGTAGAAGAGAAAAAATAGGCCGTTCCAATCATACACGAAGCATGATAGTCGTACCAGAAAAATATCCTATGCTTGCCTGAAAGAAAAAAAAGTACAAGAAATGAAATCTGTCTAGGCCAATTGAAACCGTTAACGACAAGAAAGTAAAGACTTATAATCCAATTGAAGAAACCCAGGAACGCCGACCGCCTTTTGTGCTTAACACGTGTTGTTCGCTTAAAAAGCATCTTCATCAGTCCAATTAGCTTCACTTCCAGAAACAATTCGTGTGCACAATCGATCGTTACTAAGAACTTGCCCAGCAGGTCCTTTGTAAAGTGAATATCCCTTTTTCTTCATCATACTACTATTTATAGTAGCACTGCCACGAAATGGGGGAGCTTCATCATCTGGAGTATATCGGTTTGCTCTGGCGGCTCGAAGTTTCGCAAAATAATCTTCATTCGAGTCTTCTTCTGGTTCAGTCTCAGATACATCTCCATAAGTTTCCCAGTTCTCAGAGCCAGAGCCAGTATTTGCAGAGCTAGATGTAGTAGAAAGTTGACGACTGCTAGAAGGTGGCGCAGATCCATAAGTTAACGATTGGCCGAAATTTGATCGCATTGATGCTCTCAAGTCCTGATACGACTGAGGTCTTTCCTTAGCTTTTGGTGGTGGTGCTTCGAAAACATCATCGGGAGAGACTGGTCGGACGCTACCAGTTGAAGAATTGAAGCTCTCATCACGATGATAGTATACTTGAGTTGGAGGAGCCGAAGGTGGTGGTTCAAATAGCTCACGCATCTTTGGGGGTGGAGCTCTTGCCGGTGGTGGACCCATCTTGCCTCGGATAGTGCTAGTCGCTTGTCTTGATTCAGGACGCATAGATCCAGTTCGTCGATCGCGCTCTGGAGAGTTGGGAAGCTTAAGACTTGACAAAGGTATACGATTTGGGAGCCTAGAAGGTGACTTTATACCACTCGCTGCGGATACTGAAGCGGAAGATTGGTGTCTCTTGATTGTTCCTCCTGCGGTGGGTGTCTTGGCACCAGATCTATTTGGTGGAGCAGGTCTTGGTGCGCTGTTGGAACGACCCAATGTTCCAGCTTTGACAACAGTTTTTGGAGGGGGCTTCATGGTACTTGGAGGTGGTCCTGCTGGTGTTTTTGAACGTGGTCCTGGAGCAGGTTTGGCCTCAGAAACCTCCAATTCATCAAGGTATCGTTCACCGTGTACCATAAAAGGACGACCATATTCTTCCTCCCATTCCTCTAGAACAGTTCTCAATTTTGCTGCAATCTTTGGTAAGTCTTTAGCGATTCTCTTTCTCATCTTTTCCTCACGCAATAAACGTGTTGGGTCACGCTTTTCGCCCTTTTGGCCACGCATCATCAAACGACTTGCATCTTGTGACGATGCTTGAAGATCATCTCTGTCTTTGACAAGTGATCGATGTTCCTCGATGAGAGCTAAAGTGGGTGCGCGTTGTTCTTTAAGGACCTCAAGACGGCCAATTTCCTGTTCGTGAGCCTCCAAAAGAGCATCACTGTACACATCTGAAAATGCGGGAGTGAACTCGAGCATCTCTTCCTCAGAAAAGAACAGACCATCCCACAGCTCTTGTAATTTGTATCGGGCATCCTCAACAAATAGATGTAGATTTTGTCTCTTGAGCTCATTCAATCTTGATAATTCATCTTCGAATTCGTTGATCTGTCGTAGGCCAAATCCTCGGTTGCCATTCAAAAATCGTTTCTGTTCAAACTCATCGATGCCAAGCTTTGCCCACAAAGCCTCGACGGTAGTACGTAGATCTCTCAAGCGCTTCTCTCGACTCTTCTTCTCATCTACCAATTTGCTTTGCTTCATGCGCAATCTGGAGATATCATCTTCGTGTAAACCAAGTTGCTCTGGCGCATCGCGATAGTATTTAACAATTGCGCTGTCGGTCTGAGCCTGTGGCGTGCCAAGTTCAGCCCATAGTTGAATGATGTTCTCCGCAGTAGCCTTGACTAATGCGACACGGCGGGTATACTCTTCGTAAACGCGGGTGAATTCATCGTCGAGATCGCTTACATAGTTATTTGAAAGATCGAATGTGGGAGGAATACTCGCGTTCAACGATGTGGGTGGAAGTTCGATTTTAATGAAAGATGGCTCTAAGTGGGATGAGTATGACTCGAGAGCTTGAACAAGTTCTACGATGTGTCAGTACAGCCTAGTGTCAAATCGAAGGAAAACTCAAAACTTACTCTTGACTTGTTCAAATCTCTCTCTATGTATCTTTGATATGTGAAGATGTTTTTCTTTTAATCCTTGTAGACATTGCATCAAGGGATAAGTAATTTGGAGATCCTCATCTTCGGGTTCATATTCATGGTGGTCTTTATCATCATCGAGGGAAGCTTCCATCTGCTTGATTGTTGTAATAATACGGCGAGCTTCTTCTGTCAAGTCATTTTTCTCGTCCGCGACCAATCGAACTTGGTTGTGTAAGGTCTCGGAGAGGGCAGCGAATAACTAAAAATGTTAGGTTTCACTACTTTCTTCTTTCCAAGCCAAGTAAACACCACATACCTCTGATTCTCGACTCTCTCGTTCCCGCGACGGAACACCAATTTCATCGAACAAGCCATGAAGTTGATCTATGATCGTCGAGACCTGCGACGATAAGTAGCTAGTATCCATTTTGTAATGCAAGCCACTCCTATGCGAAGGTACCTTACTTCGGCGGGGGAAGCAGCTTCAATAAAAAGAGATGGCTGGAAGCCCCTGATTGAAGAAAGGAGAAGTTCAATTATGAGGTAAAATGGATGATTGTGGGTTGTGGACCGTGGAGAGAATTCCTGTCTCGTAGAAGTGGAGAGGGAGGGAGGAACTGTATTGAGAGTGGAGAATTCGAATTGGAAACAATTGAACAATGCTCAGCTCCTCAATATGATGATCCCTCTTTCTACCGGTATTCTTGTTGCGACCACGAAACCAACCAAATCTTGAGGAATTTCCCTGTTCAATTCTCATTACCAGGTTAAAAGATTTCTTGTGGGTGTACACTTCTTTCTTATGTGTACCTGGTTGTGCTTTGAATGAAAGTTGAGTGGTTCGTTGGTCTGGAAGATCGAGAAATGATTCGCATGGAAGAAATGAAAATAGTTTGGTAGAACCGGGAAGTTTATATTTACGCTTAGTAAAATTGAGGCTGGATAATTGTTGCTAGAGGGATAAAAGGGATAGTGTCATCAAAATAAACATTAAATTAGCAAATACGGTATATAATTGGTTGGAATACAGAAATTAACAAATATAATTAGATAAGCAAGGATTTATTCCTTAGCGCAGATGGCTAAAAAAAGACCCCCCGCCTTTTTAGAGGCCGTGTGCGATTATGGTTTAACCAAGGAAAGAGATCGAGCTTACCACAGTAGGTCGGGTGAATACTTCTAATACGCCATCTGAGTACCGAGCATAGCTCACAAGGCTGCAATACAGTGGGAAATTAAGTTAACATTCCTTAAATAATCCAAGCTCTCCAACCTCCACCCTACATCATCAGGACAATAGATCACTGGAAACATTGTCACCCGGCTGCCCTTAAGCCTTCTCAATCATCATAACCAACTTCGACAAAGGACCAATACTTACGACTGAAACTCCTTCCAAGGGGACGTTATCCATCAATCATGGATACCGCTTTCAAGACCTGGGGTAAGTAAAGTTCTATCTAGCCTTGAAGCTCTCTTCATCTATGCCATTGCCATTGCCATTGCACCTGCCCTCCCCTCCCCCACCATGCACCTATCACGCTACCTAATTCCTGAAACTGACCTCATCAATCATAGAGCTTGACAACAATGTCCAACTCGTGGACCCCAACCGCGACGCCCTCTACACCTACGACCCGGAGGAACAAAAGGCTATTCAGGATGCTAAGCCCTGGAAAACCGATCCTCACCATTTCAAAAACGTCCGGATCTCCGCTGTTGCCCTCTTAAAAATGGTCATGCACGCTCGATCAGGTGGTTCTATCGAAGTGATGGGTCTGATGCAAGGAAAGATCGCAGGCGATACTATCATTGTTACGGATGCATTCCGTCTACCCGTCGAGGGAACAGAGACTCGAGTCAATGCCCAGGACGAGGCAAACGAATACATGGTTGAGTATCTACAACACTGTAGAGATCAGGGCAAATTGGAGAATGCGGTGGGGTGGTATCATAGTCATCCAGGCTATGGATGTTGGTTGAGTGGTATTGATGTTGGAACACAAGCCACGCAACAGATGTTTTCGGATCCCTTCCTGGCTGTGGTTATTGATCCCGATCGCACCATCTCTGCTGGAAAAGTCGAAATCGGGGCTTTCAGAACTTATCCCGAAAATTACAAGCCCACGGATGCAGGATCTGGTGATGGATATCAAACCATCCCCCTGGCGAAGATTGAGGATTTTGGTGCGCACAGCAGCAGATACTACTCTTTAGAAGTCTCACATTTCAAGAGTTCATTAGATTCACATCTTCTGGAATTATTGTGGAACAAATATTGGGTTCAAACATTGAGTCAAAGTCCTTTGTTTACCAACCGCGAATACAGCAGCAAGCAGATGCTTGATTTGAGCTCTAAGATTCGACAAGCCAGTTCTGGTATTAGTCGCAATGGAAGAACAACTGCCGGATCATCGTTGAGTAGGGGAATGGATCAACAATTGGTGAAGGTTGTCAAGGACAGTAGCAAGATTGCCGGGGAAGAGATGACAGGCCTGAAGGCTGGTGAGGTCAAAGCGCAGCTTTTCAACGGGTTAGGCGCGGCGCCAAAGACTGCAGCTGATCCTGCTGCTCCACTTGTCCCAGCTGTTCCAGCAGCGGAATAATGGATTTAGGACACATGATATTTGGTAAGCTCTTGTGAGCATTGCTCTGGCGCATGGGTTTGTGATGGCGTTTTAAGGTCTAAAATATACACCGGCCACAGTAGTTTAGAGTGGGGAGAAATGAAGTTATGATTCACGGCATCGATATGATCTATACATTTCCCACCACAAATTCTATTTGATTTTTTTGCCAACACTCGTGACTAGTCATCCTCGATATGTTTATACTTTCAATTGTTCGGTCTTCGGTATACTATCATTTATCAACAATCTACTATTTTAATTCTACACAACTTCAGCTTTCTCAAGCGTCCTCAGACGATCCTCCATAATCTTTTTTGCAGCCCCTAATCGTCTAAGGGACTCCTCCCTCCCCAAAATCGCCATAATATCCGCCGTATCCGGTCCACTCTGACCTCCCGCAATCGCCCACCTAAGATACGCATGCACGAGTTTCATCCAACTCTTCTTGATAACTTTTTGGGCATCTTCGGTGTATGGTTTTCCGCTAGCAGTGAATTCAGCAGTGCTCAACATGGTTCCTTGATCGACGACAAGGTTAGTAAAACCTTTTAGTTCAGGGGCATTCCAATTTTCAGGGGAAATGGAGGATAAAGCGTCGAAGGAATTGGTGAAGTCGGAGGGGACAGGGTAAATTACCCCCTCGGGAGCGGAGTGGAGCTTGTGGGGCGGGGTTCTAGATTCAAGATCGAGAGTTGTGGGGGCTGCGAAAAAGTATTTATGGTTGGAGTAGAAGGTTTCGGGGAGTGTGTAGTTTTGAATTCCAGCGCTGATTATAGCGAGGATGTAGTTCTCCTTTGCGGCATCGTTGTTCTCACAGTTGTAGAAGATTAATTCTTCAAATTCTGGAAGAATTTTCATACGATTGAGGATTGGCTTTGCAGCTAATTCTATGAGATCTTGAGAAGGCGGGATAGGTTCATCTGATCGTCGTAATTCCTTATATCTTGCGGCGTGTTTTCTTTGTATGAAGTTAAGCTTTTCAAATGTTACCACAGAGTCACCTCTGGTATATTTCATGCTTGCCTATATTGAATTAGTGGATTGTCATTTTGTATTGGAAAGGAGAAATGTATACATTGTCTATAAGTTCCTGCATACCCATTACATCGTAGGATCGATCGTGTGACCATCCAAGAAGAGCGACAAAGTTTGTTATAGTTTCTGGAAAATACCCTGCATCTCGATAGGTTTTGATATCAATAGCACCATCTCGTTTGCTAAGCTTCTTTCGCTCTTTATTCAAAAGGAGGCCAACATGTGCAAAGGTGGGCGGCTCCCACCCAAACGCTTTATACATAGCGACATGCATATGAGTTGACGGGATCCATTCCTTGAAGCTAGGATTAGCCAGCATCCGTCACGAGAATAGAAGTTACGTACCGATCCTCGAACAACATGTGTGATCTTCATGAAATGATCGTCCACAACGTTTGCCAAATGATAGGTTGGAAATCCATCCGATTTTACCATGATTGGATCCTGAAATTCCTTAAATTCCGATTGAGGGCTACGAGTCAAGGTCGGTCTGATTTTACCGTAAACTACATCCTGGAAGCCTGGCCATTGTTCTGGAACTTTCATTCTGATCACGTGAGATTCTCCCCTCGATGCCTTCTCGTCAGATTGATCCTTTGGAATGTGTCTGCAAGTTCCATCATAGGCCTGTGGGAGGCCCTTGCTACTCTGATAAACCCGTAGTTCGTGTAGTCTTTTGGATGAGCAGAAACATCTGTAGCCTAAGTCTGCCTCGACGAGTGTTTGAGCATGTTCCCAATACATCGCTTTTCGTTCTGACTGTTGATATCAGTATTACATTCTGATGTCAATGAGAAAGCATCAACGTACCTGCCTGTATGGGGCAAATGGTCCACCAACTTTCGGACCTGATAACTCTTAGTAAACTCATTCTAAGATTTCAATATCAAGCTAAGATACCTTCATCCCATTGGATACCAGCCCATTCTAGATCTCGGTACAGACGCTCTTCGGCCCCAGGAACAGTTCTATCCTTTTTAATTTAGTGTGATCCTATTGGCAAAGACTTTCTATAATTGGCCTACCGTATCCGTGTCTTCAATCCGTAAAAGAAATTGACCACCAGTAGCCTTTGCGAGCAGAAAATTGAAGAGTGCTGTTCTCATAGAACCCAAATGCAGATTTCCGGTAGGGGATGGGGCAAACCGAGTTCTGACAGGGCCGCCAGCACGAAGTTTGGTTGAGGCTACCGACAGAGGATACTGATTTGTTTGGTTGGAGGCATATCTCTTACATATGGAACAAACATTGTTTTTCCAAAATCTCTGACCAGTATTCCTTGTCACTGGCAGAGAGAGAAACCTCATCTCCAAATTGATTATACTGTGACAATAGTACTTTTAGAAATAAAAGGTAAATCTTGGAGAGTTCAATTCGATATTTGATGGTAGCATGGCACAGCAAAAAGTTTTTGTAATTGATTGGAGGACAGGAAAATATCATCAGCCACAAACTCTCAGCCACATGGGCCGAGGCCTCAGTGGCTCGAGCTTCTTACAGTTGGAAGGCGCTAAGATAAAAATATTAGAAAAGCCGTCTTCATCATAATCTCTTCAGCCTTACCACTTTCATTTTCATTCTTCGTACAAATTTTATTTGCTATTTTGCACATAACATTTGTATCTGCTAATTAGGTGTTTGTTTTTCTCGTTTGTCTAAAAGCGTAGAAAGACAACCAATTCTGAAATCACAAAATCCTACGACTCGCTGAACTATCAAAGTTCCCCGCCATCAATCATTAAGAAATTTCAATATGGCCACCAACGGCGCATCAGGGGAGACAGATCTCTATGGTGAGTTGATCAAATGAAGCCATTGACTTCAAAATACTAATATGCATAACACAGCCATCCTAGGTATAAGCAAAGATGCTACAAAGTCTGAGATTAAGAAAGCATACCACAAAGTATGCTATACCCCGCACCTAGTATGGAGATCTTTCATTGACTTTTATAGGCAGCGCTACAGCATCATCCCGACAAGGTAGCAGAGGACCAAAGAGAGGAAGCGGATGAGAAGTTCAAGACAGTGAGCCAGGCCTATGAAATTCTTTATGATGAGGAGAAGAGGGAAATGTACGATGTTCATGGTATGGCTGCATTTGATGGAAGTCGACCTGGTATGGGAGCAGGCGGAGTCGATTTGGATGACATCTTGGCGCAAATGTTCGGTGGAGGTATGGGTGGCATGGGAGGTGTGCCACCTGGATTTGGGGGACCTGGAGGCCCACGAAAACCACGAAGGGGAGCAGACGAAGAGCAACCATACAAAATCACCCTCGAGGACCTGTACAAGGGAAAGACAGTGAAGTTCACGAGCAAGAAAAACGTAATTTGCAGCCATTGCAAAGGCAGTGGAGGAAAGGAGAAGGCCAAGCCAGAAACCTGTGGCAGGTGTAAGGGTAGCGGTGTCACCGTTGGCCTTAGAAGCGTTGGACCAGGACTTGTCACCCAAGAAAGAGTTACGTGCGACACTTGTTCAGGAGCTGGTACAAACTATAGGGAGAAGGACAAGTGTAAGAAGTGCAAAGGAAAGCGTACCACCAAGGAACAAAAGTCATTGGAATTATATATACCCAGAGGTGCTAGAGACGGAGAGCGAATTGTTTTAGAGGGTGAGGCTGATCAGGTACCTGATCAAACGCCCGGCGACATCGTCTTCATTCTTGACGAAGAAGATCACGAAATTTTCCAGCGAGCTGGCGATGATCTTTCTGCGGAGCTCAACATCACTTTAGCTGAAGCCCTTACAGGGTTTTCAAGAGTGGTCTTGAAACATTTAGACGGACGTGGTATCTCGATAAATCATCCTCAAGGAAAGGTATTGGAGCCTGGGCAAATCTTGAAGATAGAGGGCGAAGGTATGCCTTTGAAGAGAAGTGACTCTAAGGGTGATTTGTACTTGATTGTGAAGATCGAGTTTCCTCAAAATGGTTGGACAGAAGATGCGGCTACATTCTCCACTCTGCAATCAATCTTGCCTAAACCTGAGCCACCAATCACGGCTGATGAAGTTGATGAGGTGGAATACGATTCAGATGCCGACATTGAAGATGTAAGTACCATTGATTAACTCTCACTTGCTTTACATGCTAACTTGCAAACTAGTTCGGTGCAAATTCTGGAGATCCTCGTGCTGGTGGCGAGTGGGAAGATGATGATGAAGACGATGAAGGAGGTGCTCAGTGTGCTACCCAGTAAACCTTTGGACATAGACTAGTATTATGCGCGTCATGAGATTCGAGTTACTAACCGATAGCGCATTCTGGGCTGGATCACTTGGGATATAGAGCGGTAAATGGGACTGCGATATAAGACGTCGTGGAAGGCATGGCGTTCCCGGATTTGTTCCAGCAAACATCGTAATGAATTTCCAATAATCAAGCGCCGTATTTCCGCATTATTACTCAAAAATTGCATTTTCTAGAATAGAAATGGTATACTGCTTCGAAGAAATGCTGTCTGCTTCCATTTTGTAGCATGCATCCATTCTGTCATTTGTCGAAGTAATGCAGGATTGTTGATATCTAGATCCGATTGAGTATTCCATCTTGGATTTTAGACATGACAAATTCCGAATAATTTAGAATTCGAATGGCCATATTCCTAAGTAGGTACCTACACTTATTAAATACCATTTATTATCGTTGGGAGCTCTCTGCGCAAATTGTCGTAATCTCCACGTGATCAGCATGGAAGCCCTAAGATTTTGATGCCTCAGGTGATAAAGTTCGCTTAAGTTTCTGTGGGCTTTAAACTATGAGACTACCAAAAAAGATTTCGCTGGAGATTGTATCAACCAACGACAAACAATCGACAACCCGACGACAAGGTGTGTATTGCTATTACTATGTCTCCTGGCGAGATGCAATTACCTCAAATCTGTTATGCTGACGATTCTCTAGATGGTTTCCGCTAAGAAGCACGTTCCTATCGTCAAGAAGCGTACGTTTAATCCCATTATCGATCCTCGACATTCAACTTGCATAGTCTGGAACCGATGAAGAGTTATGGCCGGCACTGAGTTTTGCGAACGAAAAGGACTGGACAGGTTTTCGAAGAATGGTTGATTGACAATTTTGTTACAGGCACCAAGCGTTTCCACAGACATCAGAGCGATACCTACAAATGTGTCGACGCAAGCTGGAGAAAGCCTAAGGGTATTGATAACCGTGTCCGAAGACGTTTCAAGGGACAAATGGTTATGCCATCGGTACGTGGAATTGATAGGGGCTGTGGTTGAAATGATACTTGCGAACAATATTGCTTGGGATTCGAGAGCATTCAATGCACAGCAGGGGTTTCAATTGAGCAGGGCTGATGAGGATATAGATTGGTTTCGGTTCCAACAAGAAGACCCGCCACATGATGCCATCCGGACACAAGGCTTTCCTCGTCAACAACACATCCGACGTCGAGCTTCTCCTTATGCACAACAAGACCTTCGCCGCAGAGTAGGTTCAAACGATCCTAGGACGAATTCAAATCTGGTACTAACAAACTCTTAGGATCTCCCACGCCGTTTCATCGAGAAAGAGAGTTGAGATTGTTGCACGTGCTAAGGCACTCGGTGTTAAGGTTACCAACGCCAAGGCCAGAGTTACTACTGAGGTTTAAGCGGATGGGTTTGTTTGGGCATTTTGCATTGGGATGGGAATGCTTGTTAGCACAAGCAAAGGGCTTTGCAGAATTATAGCAAAAGCTCTTTGAAAAATGAAGATCCTTAAGCAAATCTCTGACCATCACACGAAGCGCTACATGTGATGATTATTCTCCCATCGGATATCCTATACGCTACTTATGATCTCCACGATGTTCCGATCTCGCTCTCCAAAAATCCGAATACGTGAAGGTTCGGAAAATATTTTCATGGCGTTCGCGGGCGGTCTGTTTACCAAAAGTTGCATTGGGAGGTGGCCACTCCGAATTGTTCAAGGAATTTTAGGGCCAAACCAGTTCACAGCGCTTTTGGGAACATTATAGACACGAATTCAAATGGGGCCTCTCCCTTCACGTTCAAAACCCTACACCTTCAACCAGTCTGAATACTCTATTGTGCTCCATGCCATTTTCTCATTTCCTATCTGTCTCCCAGTCTCAGTCATCATCCTCTTATGCCCCCAAAGCATACCAACCTAATCATGAATCACAGTGAATTCGCACCTCTACATCCAACATCCTCCATTCTTCCCTATTTACAATCTGCTTACTCGTGTGAATTGTACGTGTTTTATCTTTAATCACGAATAGGACATTGGGTCTATCTCACCACAGTCATGAATACAACTAATCTGGGGGAATTGCCAGAGACTTCCTTACTCCTATGCCAAGTGTGCTTTTTGGAAAATCTAGAACTATATGGCTACTTTGTTAGGATAACCATCCAGCAATTCTTCGCATCTGCTTTCCTACTGTTCTGACTCTTGTCGTACTTAAACTCCCAATTCATTAACATCACTAAAGGTCCCTATGCAGGTTCCCTATTAGCCTCCCTTGCACATTGATTCGACAATTAGGGTCAATAGGTGAAAATATAAATTCACTCACTAGCCCCGATTACCAAACTATCGTTACAATAAACCAACCACTTCGTGCAGTTGCCCCAAAAAAGTCATGTTCAGTCTTTTCAAATAGACCCAATGACGCCACATTTTTGCTCGTCTAGATCGCTCTTGTCGTCTTACACCGCTGTACCCCGCTTCTACTTTTCATTCTGCGAAAGAAAACAAGTGTTCTCAATGCATGCATAGATATTCCTTGGGCGGATTGTCGATATTGCAGTATTCCGGTTGCCGATAGGAAGGCGATTGATGAGAGAAATATTAGCGTCGTAGTCATTAGAGGCTAGGTACAAGTCGAAGAAGCGGGTAGAAAGGTTGCCGAACATCTCGGCGTATTGGGTGTTGAAGATGTCCAAAGTGAGGCCTGGCGAAGGGCTAGAGCCAAATTCATCGGCATTGTTTCCGGTCAGGAAAGTGATATCAGAGTGAGCATTCAAGGCTAATGATTAACCGTAGTTGTTGGCAAGGACATAACCATCGATGACAGGACGCCAAATAGGGGGCTCCATGAAAGAAGTCACATTGTCGAAAGCGGTGCCGACGAGAACGGTGTCAGAGTCTAAGTTGTATTCCAGAGGAGTTTCCATACTGATGTTGCGTAATTCAGCAATTGTGGTAACATTTGAGGTTGGTAGAAAGTCTACACCAGCTGCTTCTGCTGCGTCCTTGTCCCGGTGACTAGTGGCCACAGTGTATGTCTCGGGGTCATGAACACCTCGGGCACCACTTTCGGGGATACATCCAACAATCATCCCCATCGGTCAATGGGCTGTACATCATGTCCAAAGCACTAGCAGATCCGGCAGACTGACCACCAACAGTTATGTGATCTGGATCACCACCAAAAGCTGCGATTTCCGAACGGAGGAATGTCAAAGCTTGGATCTGATCCAAGAGACCGTAGTTACCAGACGTGTCACGCGTCTGTCCAATGCCCAGATACCACATCAAATTCTCATGCATGAGGCTTCTCTCTTAGTTTCCCCCGTTTGAACGAGCCTGGTGGACTTCGGTGAAGGAGGTGAGGGTCGACTATGTTATCAATGGTCGGCAGTTGAAAGATATGAAATTCAACATACAATAGCAGCTAGTTTGTTCCATTTGTGATAGAGAATTTCTCCCGGCGAAGGTCCAGTTTAGTAGGAAGAGCTTTCATCAGAAAATCTTTCCATGCCCGATGTCATCAAGAGCTGGACGCAGAGCCTCTCCATCTCAACAATCGTGTAAACAGCACCATGCAATTCTTGTGCGCGTCAACGAGAGTGACTCCCGCTGATTTCTAAGCAAAAACATGCGTTTTTCAAGATGTAACTTGCGCTAAGCAACCATTCGTATACAAATGAGATGAAGATCTTCATGAAGGGGATATCGGGACCGACAGCTCATCGGCTGACGGATGAATAGTTCCACCCTTCTCTGAGAAGTCTGATGTTGGACCAATTGTACTTATACTTTTGCACAGTCTATCTGATTGATTAGACCATTCCTTCTTAAGTTTCGCTTATTCATTCACTTTTTCGTCTTCCTCGAGTGCTTTGTTTTGATAATGCGTATTTCCTCGTCTGCTCTCGCTCCTTTAAGAGCGACAGTCGTTGCAGCACAAAATGCTACTGTCTCTTCCTCAATACCACAAGCTACCTTGGAATACTGTACCGTTCAAGCTGCTGCTGCAAATCTCTCGGCTGGTATCTATAAATGCCAAAACGTTTGATTTGCTGCTCCCCAATGGCCACCAGTTGAGACTGAGGTGAACGATGGTACACTTGCCACATCAAATGTTGCATGCACGACCGCTGAGGATTGCTTGTTCATGGACATCTATGTACCAGCCAATGCTAAGGGAAAGGAGCTTCCTGTTTTGTAGTGGACTTATGAGTAAGTGATGTTCCATACTTGTGCTACTTCAGTATACACTGATGAATACTAACGAAAGATTTATCCAGAGCTGGAGCACACAAATCTCACACTGCGCCCGAAGGTCTCTATGATCTCAGCAAAGACTTCATCTTTGTCACCTACAACTACCGAGATGGCATTGCCGGTGTTGCTAACGGACCAACCTCCACTCACGAAGGAGGCGCCACTAATGCTGCCGTTCGTGATACAGAATATGCCTACAAATAGACTCGCAAGTACATCAGTGTTTTTGGAGGTGATCCAGATAATATCGTTGCTTTAGCTTTCTCGGCTGGTTTCCTCGCAAACGCTTGATCAGATCTTCCGTTTTGGAGGCAACGCTGAGCAGCTATTTGCTCGCGCGTACCTCAATTTGCCAGGCAAAGTCCCTGGTTCTGGTCACCAGCAAGTCGAGGCCTTTTGGCAAAATATCTCGACTACTGTCGGTTGTAATGGTTGTGGTTTAGATTGCATGCGTACAGTACAGTCAATTACACAGCTTTCAACGCCGCCGTCACCGATGTTATATCTTTATACTCATACACATTACAACTCGAGTCGATGGTGATATCATTAGTGATACTTGTAGATTTTGCCATCGAATATTTTCTCCTTTTGATTTTTGATTTAAAATTGACAAATTGCTAACTGATTTTGTTTTCTAATAACAGACGAAGCGGAATTCTACGCTGGTCACTACAATTGGACCGGACCATTGGTCATCACCCACGAGCTTCACGAGAAGAATAGCGACGTTACAAGCGGTATCAATAGCACCGCTGATGTTGCCGACAAAATACGCATGTACTTCCTCGTCATCACTGACACTATCATCAACGAAATCCTCGCTCTCTATCCCAAAAGTGACTACACCTCTCCCGGACTTCGCTTCTCAGACATAGAGCAAAGCTTCGAATTGACCTCGCACAACTTGGCTTTGACCCCCGGTCTTTACAACCAGACTTGGAATGCAATGGCTACATTAGGCCCAGCTACTCACAGTACTGATTACCGGTATAACACTTACACTCTCTCGGGAGATATTCAGACCAATCCAGTCAATGCCACTACAGCGCGGATTATGCAAAGTGTCTTTTGTCTTTTGCATTGACTGGTAATCCTAATACCCTTTGGCCAAATGTCAAAATGGAATGGCCTTTATATAACACCAGTACCGATGGTGTGGAAATTGTTTTCAATACAAGTATGTACTTGCAAGCGGATTCTTTAGTCAACGTCAAACCTCGATTCTGAAGTAAGGCTTTGTGGTACTAGGATCTTGGCTGTTTGCTTGAAGTTTATAGTGTAGATAGATGACAGATTAAAGACACAATTTGGAGGATTCCATTTTTAATTGTCTATCGTCATCATTGGCTACCGACGGCAGTCTTGATTGTTGAGCTTCAAACTTTAGACAATTATATACTATAAAACAATCACTGGAAAATGCTTTCCCTCCATTTTCTAAATCAGTGCTTCAAATTATTCGAACTCTTTTCTGTTGCTCTAAGCATCTGAAACCTTCTACTTATCACGAAGCAAATAGACAGAGAAGACAACAACTTGTATGTAACAAAATATATGCCTAATCCCGAGAAAATTTTCAACTGCCCGAAGGAACTCCTTCGAAACAATGGTAGTACAAAAAGTTTTCAGTTCGTAGTGATTGTCTTCGTAAGCTAAACAAATATAGAATGAGAGTTGTGATTTTATCGCCCCAATGATTTCTATCGCCGAGAAGAGTCTACAGAGTGTAAAAGTCACCTGGCCTAGGAAATCGAGCGAGATAATGGGGAAAAGGCTATTGAGCTATTTTAGTACAAGTGTGGGTTTTGTAGCATTCATCTTGGATATGATAACTTCCATTCTAGTCCACTAAGCAATACCTCAATTCGTACTTACTTACATCATTACTCAAGACGTATATAATAACTTGCGTACTACACAAATGATACCGAACATATGCTCGTTCAAAATGGACATCACCATGGCTTTCTTTGGAATTTAGATATAGATGCACATACAAGTAGATCTAGGCTCTTAAAAATGCTTACTAACCAACCAAACGAAATGGAACTTTGAAAGGAAGGAAGGAAGGACTAAATAATACGTCGAGATATCTTCTCATGAAGAGTTTTGTTGCACATCTACATCTCTCATTTACAAGGCCTACCCTGACAAGCGTGTAAAGTGGACAGTTGTAAGCGTACCTAGTACTTGATTTTACTAGGTTTACTTCAGTAATAGTAGGTAGATCGTGTGTTCTCGATGATAGGTAATTCATGTCTATCCACTACTATTGGAATAGGAATTCTGCACATAAACCAGCACAGAATCTACTATCTTTGCTATCGATACTATTCAAACTTTGATAGGTATCTTCTTCCTGTCGAATAGACAGGGGGAGTTTTTTTTCAATTTACTGAACATGAGGATTAAAAGCTATACTGCACTTTTCTCACAGCCACAACCTCCTGCAATGGTACAATATCCCCGCTCAAGAGTATCACTTTGAATGAAAGAAGATTATGAATAAGCTAACCAGGAACATGACAATATCTGTGGAAGCCCTAGAAATGTGTATACTAACCCTATAACGAGCTTAAAAGAAGAAGCCGGCTCTGAAGGTTGAGTTGGTCAACTACATTTTATGCCTCAAGAGACGTTGAGCAAAAGTATGAATAGAATTCTTTCATTGATGTTTTGATTGATTTAAGGAAAGTTCTAACAATTGCATACATTCCTTCAAGCATCAAAATATCATGTTGTTGGAGCTATTCTAAGGACAAGGTATCTTGAATCATCGTTGAAGATACTAAGGCTACGAACTAAAGTACAGCGTGGCTGCTCGCTAGCTTCTTCAAAACTTGCTACTTCCAACTTTAGTACATTGAATGATAGCTCTAGTGCAATGTACCAGATAAAACGCAAAATGACATCTGTACTTAATAGGTTTCCCTCAATTTTCCTTTCATTCTTCCCTTACTTACACCCACAGATATATTATTATAACAATATTTGCTTTCAAGGTCTCGACCATATATCAATACGCTTCTTGCCATATATACCTATATCTAAAGCCATATCGAACATACACACGCGCGTAGGTTTGTAGCACGACCGTATAGCACATCTAAATCGTGGGTAAATGATACAAGCCATATGCATTGTGAGATTGTAACAGTCAGCTCTAATGAACTTTTCAATAGCACCGTTATCACCCGACTCAAACTCCGAACCAGCAAGCTTTGTTATTCGTCAACATGAAGAAACTTTTTACTAGCCATAAATTCTCCAATATGTGGAACAACTTCAAAGCAAAGAAGAAGTCCCCTGAAGAAAAAGAGCCTTTCGAAGCGATAAAATTTGAGACGACCCCCGTACATGGCATGTATAAAATCGACGAAACTGGAAGAAGATTTCTCGTTGCCATCCGACCAATAAGCGACGGGAGAGACAGTGAAGGTATATTTCAAGTCGCTTCTACCAGTGCTTCTCCCAAGACTTCCTCCGATGAACCCTCTTCCACAAATAATGAGGCTAGCGAAAGCCTCCCGGCCGAACAAGTCGCTGCAGGCTACAGCTACCTTCGCGATCAACTTGAGGTACAATACAGTGATATTTTAAATCGTTGGATGTTTAAGGATGAGCTAGAAAAGCGATATATCCGACCCGTCGAATACGACGGACAAGCGGTCCACATGTTCCGCCTTGACAACCCCGCCATCTATGTTGTCGTTATGAATGAAAAGTTGGGAAAACATGGGGCACCGTCCTTAAGGCCCAAGACACCTAAAAATCATAAGGGTATCAATGAAGACCTCTGGTGCCGCAACTATCTTAACGGCGCCTTCAGAAAGATGGAAGATGACGAGGCGGCAAAGGCACGACAGGAAATGGCGGAGAAGGGACATGACGCTTGGTGTGAGACGGGGAATCAACCTTATTTGAAGATCCAGAGATATCTGCAAAGCACTATTACTTTTACTACACCTTTTGCAAATTGATTTGAATGGTATATATTGGGAGTGGATATTTAACGTTATTTGAGCGTCTCATGGAAGCAGAGATATCCTTTTCTTTCTGCCAACTGGGCATAAAGACATTTTATTGCATATTACGGCTGCACTCGCAGATGTACCAATTCGAAATCAATTTGACGACATCAATGTCATCTCTTGCAACTAATACACGAACACGAATCCACCTGATCATCGAACTTCAGATGAACAATCAGAAGGCTTCTAGGCGCCCCTAATTGTTGACAGCCAAGTTTCATCTTGAATCCGAGAACCAGCTTTATTATTCTCAAACAAACACCAGACGGAATGGAACCTTCAGATGAACTTTACCAACTGCGCCGAAACATCAGAAAATATGAAGGAATAGGATTCATGATGAGATACAATCGTTCCGAAACGTCCACTCAATTCAGAACGTCTCGATAAACTTCCGATGTCAAAGTTATAGTCGTACCCACAAAAGAAACCATTCAACCAACAAAAATGTAGCATTGATGTTTGGTGCTCAGATTGAACGGAAGATACTTGCGTAAGCTTCCCGAGTTGATTTTTCATACGAGGTTTTCGACATTAACAGATATTTGGAACATTTCAGCCCTCATCTCTTACCAAAGAACGATACTCGTGGATGCCATCCCATCCTAGATTGTCAGGATTATATCAATCAACAATGGCATGGCCGAAGCATGAAGATGTACCTATTATTAGGGGTTTTGCCGGCATCAACAGGGATAAAGAATGCCGTTAACATGGTTACCATGAGGATCTCCATCGCGCCTACAGTATGTATTACTTTACTGGTACAGCCTGCGCCTTGCTGAAATTAAACTCCTATAATGCTGGATATAAATTTCATTATGCAAGGCCTGTCCGATATCTATTGACCCCTCTTCAATTAAAATACAAAGTCGACTACTTTCGTCGCAGTCGCACAGTCGAAAAACAGAGTTTACATTCACCGGTTTAGAGTTGTACACAACAACACCTGATACTCATCACGTTAAATCACGGAAGTCACACAGCTACCTCATCAATACATTGTCTTATGATCATACTACAACACACGACGAGCTCATGTCGGCAACTATAACTTTAACGATGGCGCAGACGTCGGGCATTGAGTCTGCATGTCCTAATTGTGGAATGGCTCTACCGCACAACAGTTCGCAGATTGCAGCTGATGCGCAGAAAGAGATTGAGGAATTACAAGCTCAAGTAAAGTTACTGACAGACAAAGCGACCGCTGCAGGTAGGCTTCTCCTTATAAACCGTTGATCTTCCGGTGCTAACAATATTGCCAGTGGATAAATGGGCAGACTACGAAGACGAAATCCAATCACTTAAAAGGGCGAACTACCAGCAAACTCCAGAACCTCAGCGCGCAACAACACCAACACAAGGGCACACTGAAGACCGACTTGGAAGCCCGAGTCGTTTCTCATATCTGCCTGTCCAAAATCGACTTTCTTCTCTACTATCTCGCAAGTCCACACCGAATCTACAAGCTCAGCAACCGCCAACACCGCCAACCCCTTCTACAACAGAGTTAGTAGCTGCGTTGACGAGGGAGCAAGGGTTACGGCAGGCTGCGGAGGGCAAATTAAATGAATCCAGCGTCGAGCTGGAAGAACTGACGGCACAGCTTTTTACACAAGCCAATGAAATGGTTGCTACGGAACGAAAGGCCAGGGCGAAACTCGAAGAGCGAGTCGAAATTTTGGAACGAAGGGATGGAGAAAAGAGAAAACGACTGGAGAGGCTTGAAGGCGCAGTTCAAAGGATTGAAAGAGTCAGGGGTCTTTTGGCACCGGGACGAAGAGAAGAGAAAACACGACGATACGACTAAATGCATTAGGATAAGACAACGCGGAGCACAGATTATGGAAAAGGGGCTACGGAGCTATGTGCGTATACGTCAGAAAGTCGCAGTTTCGAGTCATGAAAAATCATCCCAAGAGAAAGAACAATTTATAAGCCCCGAGATATCTTCGGCAGCAATGACGGCACAGATATCAAGGTCTCAATACCTTTCCCAACCAGCGAAGTTCCCTCCTACCGAGCCACGGCCACAAAATAGTCATCCTTCTCGCCCAAGGCTTCGCGATGTATACAGACCAGTGCATTTAGCTGAGGCCTCGGAAATGGAAATTTGGCTAATAGATCTATGGAAAGACTTCCTGCTCGAACCTACACCTTACCTGGTTTTGTCTGCTACTCTCTACTTGGGCCTCTTTATAATATTATTGCAGTATTATCCGACCATCTTGAATATTGCCTACTTTCTTATTCAGCTTATACCTTGGGATGACGATTTTGGAGCACCGGGCTATCAATTCTGAGTATACCTTGAAATGCATTTGTTTGGAGCGTGTTAGATATGATACCCTACTTGTATATATTTTTTCTATAGTTTTTTAATACCTGCCTGGTGGAGGTAGATTAGTATCCACCATTAATGTTAATTATCTTCACATCAACATATATCACAATTGCAATCACGTCTAACAATTATCAGATTATAGAAGGCGAAGCTGGTGGTATCTCATTCAACTTGAGGGAATCTCATCGCTATGTAACGCCAGCAAATCTTGAGTAAGCAACTCAACTACCCATTTTAAGCACCTTACTTTCCAATGGTCAAAAATAGTCTATCACCCACATCTCCCAAACCTGGTTTAATCATGCCCTTCTCATTAACCTCCTCATCTACACCCGCACACCAGATCTCCGTTCCCTCGGGCCACTCTCTAGCTGCGTTTTGCAAGCCCGGCAATGCAGCCAACACACTCAATACGATGATTCTCTTAACACCCCATTCTCTCAATGTACGAATGGCAGCAGCACAGGTTCCTCCTGTAGCAATGACGGGATCGAGCAGAATTGCAAGCTCGGAAGCGGAGGTGTTGGGGGTGTTGGAGGGAGATGATGCGGCGGGTGCGTGGTAGGGAAGATTGTTGTAATATTCGACGGGCTCAAGAGTGGTGGGTTCACGGAAGAGTCCAAGATGATGGATTGGGGTTGGGGAGGGGAGGAGTGTTTGGAGTGCTTCGACCATAGAAAGACCGGAACGGAGAATGGGGATTAGGGAAATGGAGGCGGGTGTTATGGTGGTGGTTGTATAGGTGTATCCGAGGGGTGTTTTGGCCTGGTGTAGTTTGTTAGTTGGGTTGCGGGGGTGAGATTGAGAAATGATGGGGAGGGAAGATAGAGAGGGGGAATGAATGAACGAATGAATGAATGAACGAATGAATGAATGAACGAATGAATGAATGAATGAATGAATGAATGCATAAACATACAGTTGGACCTTTGGAAACGGTAATTCCAGCGGCTGTAGCTTCACATCCTATTATCAATGAGATTTCATTAACAAGAGCTTTGGTTTCGCGAGTATTAGCCTCGCTGGATCTCAATTGTGAGAGTTTGGCTTGGAGACATGGATGAGTGGAGATGTGAACGTTAGGTGGGATTGATTCATTCATTTTGGAAGCTTCGCACTATTATTGTTCAAACTGTGACTGTGAAGATGTTGTGAATACTTTTGTGATGTTGATCAAATACACAAAGTCAATGATAGAAGTGAAGTGAAGCTTTATATTCCTTTGTTGTAGAAGAGTGGACGTTGATGACTGCTTGCTGTGTGCAAGCTACGGAGTACGGGAGTATGTGTTATGTATTCACACCTGCCTGCAGCTAGAGGCCGAGCCCAACCGCCCACATTTTATCAGTGGAACGCGGACCTTATCAGTCGAATCGCAAACGGGCGGTCCCCGGGTGGGATCTCCTATCAATCTAACTTTAAAAAGACGGCAACTTACTAGGTGACGTCGGAATTTCCCCTTCAACAATGGGATTTGGATAATATCAACAGAAGTGTCACGGCCTTGGTGTATAATTGGATAATGCCAATGGGGAATGCAGGTACCAAAGATACTGGAAATGAGTCTTACGACATCAAGGCCATTTCCACCCACTCGAAGTCAATAGACAGACCATCGCAAGATCGACGCGTGCGGGAGGCGCAAGATGCGGGATATGATTCACCAAAGGGTTATTCTCGACTCGATCAAGGCACTGCGCCGGCGCCGAGACAAAACACGGATGGAAACCATTTGAGACAAAGTCAACCTCTAGGATATGCGAATAGCGGAGAGCAAAATGCACGCCGTCGACCTTCTAAAACCGATAGCGATTATGATATTCCAGATGATTATGCCAATCTAGATGAACTTGCCACACCATCGCTGGTGGAAAATCCTCATGACGTTCCGACATATCAACATAAATCTTTAGAGGAGGCTAAAGATGAAGAGCAAGGATACGAACAGGGGCGTAGAAGACAGGAACAGCGTAAACGAGATAGTATTGCTAGAGGAGAAAGACCACCGGAAGAGGAGAAGAAAAGTACCAGTCCCCCAAAGGTCTCAAAATTCGCGACACAGTTATATACCATATCGTATCTAATATTATTTTCAATATTTGGAACATTGGCTAGACTAGGTCTCCAAGCCATTACCTTCTACCCCGGAGCCCCCATTATTTTCAGCGAGCTATGGGCAAATGTCGGCGGAAGTTTATTCATGGGGTTTCTAGGTGAAGACAGGATGTTATTTAGGGAAGAATGGGGAACCGCTACCTACCACCACAAAATTCAAGAATGGAAAGCCAAAGTTAAAGATGAAGAAAATGCAGGCTCACTAGCTGTAGAACAACATCCCGATTTACAGGCCGCCAAAAAAGCACATGCTGCAACGAAAAAGACCATTCCTTTGTATATAGGTCTGGCAACAGGCTTTTGTGGTAGTTTTACATCCTTTTCATCGTTTATTCGAGATACTTTCTTGGCGCTTTCAGATGATTTGCCGAGTCCCCTGAACCATCCTCAGGATTATAGTCCGATTATGGCTAGTACAACGAGTACCGTGAGTCGAAATGGAGGATACTCTTTCATGGCGACATTAGCTGTTATCATTACGACTGTCTCATTATGTTTGGCAGCGTTATTTTTCGGCACTCATCTTGCTATATTCCTAGAACCATATACACCGAGTTTATCATTTCATAAGTCTCGCAAGTATCTAGATCCTTTTGCGGTATTCTTAGCATGGGGTTGTTGGCTGGGTGCTATATTTCTGGCTATCTTTCCACCGGATAGAAATGATCCACCGCCTGAGATATGGCGAGGTCGCGCGGTTTTTGCCCTGATATTCGCACCTATAGGTTGTCTAGCCCGTTTCTACGTCTCTCTTTACTTAAATGGCAAAATCTCTTCATTTCCACTGGGAACATTTGCAGTCAATATGTTTGGGACGGCAATGATGGGTATGGTGTATGATTTACAACATGTACCTTTGGGAGGTGTAATTGGATGCCAGGTTTTACAGGGGATAGAAGATGGGTTTTGTGGATGCTTGACCACGGTTAGTACGTGGGTAGTGGAGTTGAGCTCGTTAAGGAGGAGCCATGGTTATAGATATGGGTTGGCGAGTGTAATTGGGGGATTGGCCTTGATGGTGGTAATTATGGGGAGTTTTAGGTGGACGCACGGGTTTGAGGGGTTGGTGTGCACGCATTAGAAATTTTAGCTGGACTGTATAGAGGTATTAGTAAGATAATGTTTGTGGTTCATCTAGAGTAGAATTTGTTTCACTAGTCGGATAGTTGTGTACAGTTCAATATGCGCTAGGACGTGTATATAACGTGATTCGGGCGAGGTTTGGACAGTATATGAAGTTGTAGCAAAATGCCCTCATTGCATAGCTAATAAGTACCTATCTGAAACTTCCGAGGAATACCTTCAAGAATCAACTTTCATACTGCCACTTTTTTGTGTATCTTAAGAACATTTCTCGGCACGCCGGATGGGTACTCATGCTAGTTTATTCCAAATATTGATGAATTTTAGTGTCATCCAAATTGCCTTTTATCAGAGCATTAATTTCATTGATATTCGCAATACAGAATGCGATATTCGTCACATCTATCAAATCTTTGTCTTTGAATCTTTAGTCCTAGTACGAACATTCGATATAATAATCCATCTAGGTTAAACGGAATGTTTAGTATCCAGATTGCCCTCCATCTTGCACCACTTCCTGCCTTCTTTAAAACCTCTATAATGCCGAAGAATAAGAAATACTATATATAACTCATGGGCCAATTTCACGGAAAGAGCCGTAGTATATATAGTATTCGAATAAGTGGAGAAACCCAAATAGTTTTGCGAGACACGAGGAAGTCGAGAAATGGACATTCACTAAAACGATTAGACATATCAATGGGCGAGACCTTATGAAGCTCGAGTATATACGTAAAGTATGGGGAAATTTGATTCATGAATGTTTTACCTGAACGGCTGGCTGAGATGTGGCTGCTCGCTGTATCAATTGGCTGGCCAAGGATGGTTTGAATCCTCTTTTTTAAGTTAGCACGGCCGCCGTTGTTTGTGATGAATATGCCACGCTTGGTTATGTAGAGGTTCTTGCTTTACGAGGTTGGCGAGATATGGAAGTGGCCGTTTAGGGTGTCCCGTGGGGCGTTTCTTGTTTTCTTGATTGACTTATTGCGTGTGTTATGTGATATGGTGGAGGGAAGTTGGAGAAGCAGCCCATATATATCTTGACTTCGTGGTGAAGATGCTGTAAGATCTATATAAGATGATACATTCTTACACTTTCATTCTTCGTCAAATGCAGTGGAAGAGAAGCAGAGTTTACCCCCAGCATTGACAGTTGCATATCCAACTCTTTCAAATGTTTTCACAACAGCTTATAGATGATCACGTCATCATGTCAATCATCGGCAACCTACCTCCCATATCCCTCATGATCTTCACAGCCCTTGTTATGTTGACCTACCTCCTCTTAAACTTCCTCTGCTCCGTCTGTGATCCCCTCGAACCTCCCATGGCCGCAACACGCATTCCATACATCGGTCACATCCTTGGATTCGCACGACAAAAATTCAACTATTATGTTGATCTCAGCCAGACAACAGGCCTCCCAATTCTTACCATACGTGTTCCAGGCGCCAAAATGTACATTGTGAATACAACCGAATTAATCCAGGCTGTCCAAAAACTACCCAAAAAACTTGCATTTCCGCCTATTTCGGCAAAATTCGCAAATCGACTTTGTGGAGTGAGTAGGAAAGCGAGGGATGTATTGGCGGTGAATGTTAATGGAGATGGAGGGGATTGGGGATTGAATATGGAGGCGACACATGTGATGAAGAGGGCGACGGCGCCGGGACCAGGCTTGGATGGTATGAATAGGGTTATGATTGGGATTGTTGCGGAGAGTTTGGATGGGTTGATTGGGGAGGGAAGGGAGAATGTGGAGATTGGACTTCACATGTGGTTGAGGGGTTTGATTACGATGGCGACGACGGAATCGGTTTATGGACCGAGAAATCCTTATAGGGATGTGAAGGTTCAGAAGAGCTTTTGGTATTTCTCTTTGGTGGCTTGTGTGCAGGTTTTGAAGACTAATCATTGCGTTAGGGAGGTGGAGAGTCAGATGATGAGATTGTTAATCGGAATACTACCTTCTGTTTTCGCTCGCAAAGGTATCGCAGCACGAAGAAGAGTCACAAAAGCTTTCGAATCTTATTACGCAGGAAGTGATTTCAAAGATGCTTCTCTGCTTGCGCAAGCTCGTTTAGAGGTCAATATGAAGCATGGCATTCCAATGAAAGATGTCGCTAGATATGAAACAGTCATCGGAGTTGCTATTATTGTCAATACCGCACCTGCTCTATTTTGGTTAATATTCTTCATCTATTCGAACCCTGAACTCCTGGAAGAAATTCGGGGTGAGATTGAGGCAATTGTGGAAACAAGCTTCAATGAAGACGGAAGTTCGACACGAAGTCTCGATATCACGAATGTGAAGAAAAAATGTCATCTTCTCTTATCGACTTTTCAAGAAACTCTTCGTCATCGATCTGCCGGGACTTCTGTCCGCATAGTCATGGAGGATACGTTGCTAGACGACAAGTGGCTATTAAAGAAAAACTCCATCATCCAAATGCCCGGTCGAGTAATCCATATGGATTCCAAAATCTGGGGACCAGACGTTGCAGATTTCAATCCTCGACGATTTCTCAAAGGCAAAAATATCAAGCGTCCTAACCCAGCCGCACTTCGTACATTTGGTGGTGGGACTACTTTATGTCCCGGTCGTCACTTCGCTACGAATGAAATATTGGCTATCGTTTCGATGTTTGTCATGCGGTTTGATATGAGACCAGTGGAAGAGCACTGGAGATTGCCAAAATCTGATAATACGAATGTGACTACTGTGATATTAGAACCGGATACGGATATTGATGTGATCGTATCTCAAAGGGAAGAGGTTGGAGATGGAAAGTGGAAGTTTAAGTTGTCGGACTCTAAGATCATAGCTTCGGTGGTTGTTGAGGATCGCGTTGATTCGTAATATGCTGCACTAAGTATTGCTACTCGTGCGAATTGCCAATCATTGCTTGTTTTTATGGCGTCATTACTTTGCATGGGTACTTATACTTTCTGGGGGAAATAAGCATCTAAGTAAATCGTGTATTCAATGGCATTTCTAGTGTCTTAAACTGTTTACTCCCATGTTTGAATCTTCTTGAAACTCTTTGCTTCGACATTATTAGCTTTGATCAAAGCCAACAGAACGTGGAGGACTTTGACCGTAATTTTACATCTAATTCCTGGAATCTCCATTTATTGTAACGAATTCATGCGTGATATCACACGTCCAATAAACAGCTTCCTCTCCCTTTCCAACCCCATCATCCCTCAAATCCACCACCACTTCCACGTCCTCTTTTTCCATAAGCTCTTTAACCTTCAACTCATCAACCTCCATCAGCTTTCCCCGCTTCACAAAATTCAATTCCTCAGCACCGTCAACCGGCACAAAACTTACAGATGTCAATTCGCGGTTGATGATCCCCTTGCCAGCAAACTCCGTATCCATCAATGAGTAACCCAAAGCAGCTAAGACGCCTATAGGATTTGGATCTTTGCCATAGACCCCCATTTTGAAAAGGACAGAACGCGCGATAACGGATGCAATATGTTTTCCTGCTAGGTAGGTCGGCGCGCCTCGTACTCGTATTGTAATAAATTTAGTTGCGCCTTCTCCATCCCTTACTACCAGCTTTGCGAGATCAGCCATGAACTCAGTGAGGATCTTTTGGAAGCCGATGAAGTCTTCGGATTGAGATGCCGCCAATGTATCAAAGTCGATTGGAGAATGTGTAGGTGCAGCCGCACCATTGGCGAACATAGTGACCATATCATTCGTGCTTGTATCTCCTTCAATAGAGATACAATTATAACTCTTATCAGCTGCCGTAATTAAGAGTTGTTGAAGAGCAGGAGGTGTAAAGGGTGCATCAGTACAGATTATACCAAGTGTGGTAGCCATGTTTGGATGGATCATTCCGGCGCCTTTAGTGATGCCCGCGAGAGAGAATTTGGTGTTTGGTAAAGATGGGAGAGTGAAGGTGCGTGATGAGAGTTTAGGGAAGGTGTCAGTTGTACAGATGCCCCTGGCGGCTTGTAGCCAGTGATTATGAGTGGTACCCATATTCTGATGGAGTTTTGGGAAGCCTTGGATGATGTCATCAATAGGGAGTCTGTACAAAATTAGTGAGTGAAGAATGACCGTGTGAGAAAGCTTACCGCTGGCCACCCATACCTAAGTCCAAGTGATTCAGTCAGTTCATTGTTCTCATGCATAAAAAGGAATTGAAGGACCCAAGTATTCTATAACATTCACCACCCAGGGCAATGAAGGTGAGCAATCCTCTAGAACAGCAACTTGCCTGTATGCATGACCATTACCGGGTCTTTCCCCTTGCCGTTCTCCTCACCCAAAACCATTCCCGCCTCCTCACTCATCCTTCTCGAATCCTCTAGCCCTTTCTCACCCGTAAGTAGGTTTGCACACCACGAGTTCGCTACTACACCCCTCATTCCCCTTCCCCTACTTTTCTTTATTAACTCCCTAGTAACCAGTACACTGGGAGCTGGAAATTCATTCTTTGTAAGAACAGCTGCTCCACATGTCTCCCATTGCTCCTCGCTTGTCACTAAAATCAAGTCTGGCTGGGATAAGCCAGACGGTTTGATCCCGACATTTGTACTACCGACTAAAAAACCTTTGGGGTAGGTGCCAGATGTTGGAACGAAACGCTGTTTGGAAGCAGGAATGGGGGAATTTCCAAATGAGTCAAATTTGGTAAACGAGCGGTATTGGATATTGACCTGCAGAGGCTTCTTGCGGAAACACGTGGTGACAATGTGAGAAACTCGATACATGATTTTAGCCGTAACTGAAATGAAAATATATTATACTTGTGAGTCCAAGGACAAAAGGTACCTAGGTAAGGTAGTAGACAGTTTGATGATTTCTCTGACTCCCATCCCAAGTACTGGTAGCCGAGATCCACTAAGATCGTGTGATAAGCCACATCTTATTATATCTCAAAATAATTCCTGGGAATTCTGCTTTCATAGATCGAAAGAATTCCATAAATACCTACCTATCTGAAAACAGACAAACGTATCTCACGGTCGTGAATTAGAGGTGTCTGATTGTAATAGAGCATTTTGTACGCTTTTGACTGACAACAATTATACAGAAACATATTGCAGTGAATTCAATGAATGTCCGGCCGCAGAGCGAATCATCGAGTAGGCCTCTCATAGCCAATCAATTTTGTGCGAAATATGTGTGGCTATAGAAGGTTAACGTCGACAAAGTAACGCTTGGTACCTCAGCAAGCTCAGCAAGTAGCATATCAAACTCGAGGAAACCGGCTAGATACTCTAATTGAGCTCGTCAGGTAGTTAACCCATTGTTTGGGGAGCTTATTCTACATAAGAGACTTCATTATGCATGCAGTCGGTCAATCAGGTACGTACCTGATACGACTTCACTGTGTACTGCTTGCCCGGGGGTAAAAGTTGTCAGTAGCACTAAGGTATCTCGCAATAAAGTCGGTTATGATGTGGTTGGTCATTGACATTGAAGCACCTCCCTTATCCGGTAAAGTGGGACTGACGTTATACCATAAAAGGCAACTCAAAAACGAAATCCCCTGTCCTGTCCGAGCCTGGTGGCCCCCCCATTGTCCCAAGCTCTTTCCAAGCACATCTCCGCACGGATTCAGTATCTCGAATACACAACAATTCGCCTATTTTTTAATCATTGTCAAGTGCGAAAGATACACCAAGCTTTGAGTAGTGGGCCGGATAACGATTAGACCCCTAGGGCTCTCAAGCTATGTTTGGTTTATTAGTCAGGTACAGCCCCAACCATCTTTTGTGGTTATCTTCGGCTTCATAGACTACACGCATTTCTTTCACAATTCATTTATCATACGCGATTGTTATCGGTTGTTATCCTCCCAAGAAATGGGGATCTACGAAACTATATCAAATCATGGGCCTTGTCGTATGCATGTCTTCCAGATAAGGTAGGTGACACCGGCAAGTTTGGCCTCCTGAAAAAAAAGTTGTATGAATACTTGAGGTGAATCCATGACAATGTTTACTTCCAACCCTTTCCCTCTCTTCTTTTGCTTGTCATTCTTCTACGTCTTTGGACTCGAGTTTCTCCAAGTCCTCAGTATCCGTCATGAAGTGGTCAATCGTATCCGCGATCTCTTTGCTGGCTGCATCTGCAGCTGCTGAGCACCCATTTCTTCGCAAAGGGAAGTTGGTCCCACCGGTTGAAGCGGAAGACGAATTTCCTGTTTCCATCAATGCAGCTGGTGTGAATACTACAGGTTCTGCGTTCTTCACCCAGCTTTTAGATCATGACAATCCTTCCAAAGGAACATTCCAACAAAAGTTTTGGTGGAACTCCGAGTTTTGGGCTGGACCAGGATCTCCAGTAAGGGTACCACGACTGTCAATAATTGTCCTCTAACTGACAATTGTAGATCGTTTTCTTCACTCCCGGTGAAATTGCTGCCGCAAACTATGGTGGCTATTTGACTAACATCACCATTACCGGACGTTTTGCGCAGGAAGTTAAGGGTGCCGTTGTTATGGTTGAGCGTATGTATTTTCCACTTTCAGATTGGAAGATATGCTGACTGTTCTAAAGATCGTTTCTGGGGCGAATCTTCTCCATATGATAATCTCACAACAACTAACCTACAACTCCTCACTCTAAAACAAGCTATTGCGGATTTCGTTTACTTTGCCAAGACAGTCGACCTTCCATTCGACTCAAACCATAGCAGTAATGCAGCTTCTGCGCCTTGGATCAATTCAGGTGGTAGTTATAGCGGTGCGCTCTCTGCTTGGACCGAAGCAACAAGCCCTGGCACATTCTGGGCATACCATGCATCCAGTGCTCCAGTGCAAGCTATTGACAACTATTGGCAATACTTCTACCCCATTCAAGATGGCATGCCAAAGAACTGCAGCAAAGACGTTTCTTTAGTCATTGACTATATGGACAACGTCTTGACCCATGGTAACAAAAGTGCAGTAACTGCACTGAAGACTAAATTTGGCTTGGAGTCTGTTAAACATAACGACGACTTCATGGCTGTTCTCGAAAATGGTCCCTGGTTGTGGCAGTCAAACAGTTTCTCTACAAACTATTCAGACTTCTACCAATTCTGTGACGCAATTGAGGTGAGTCACCTCTTATCCGAATGGTAGATTATGTCCTAACCCAATAATAATAATAGAACGTCACCGCCGGAGCTGCTGTCACTCCAGATGCGAACGGTGTTGGTCTTACGACTGCATTGGAAGGTTATGCAAAATGGACCAAGAGTTATATACCGGGCTGTAAGTATCTGATTGCCAATCAAAGTATTGGGGTACTAACCAAAAGCGAATAGACTGTAAAGGCTTTGGCTACGCTGCCAATGACACATCTTGTTTCAATACATATGATTTCAACAACTTGATGTTCAGAGACTACACTGTCGGAAATAAGGTTGATAGAAAATGGAACTGGATGCTTTGCAACGAGCCATTTGGCTATTGGCAAGAGTATGTATTGCAGAATTGACATTGTATTGCTAAGGCTAACAATTTTGGCAGTGGAGCACCCAACAACAGACCTACACTTGTTTCCCGTCTCATCGATGCGAAATACTGGCAACGACAATGTGATTTGTTCTTCCCAACGGAGGGCAACTACACATATGCCAGTGCTAAGGGTGCAACTGTGGATCGAGTCAACAGATACACTAAAGGATGGGACCTCGAGAACACCACTCGTCTTATTTGGACAAATGGGTACGTGGCTTTGCCCAACTTGCTAATCACCTGCTGATATATCAATAGTCAATATGACCCATGGAGAACATCCGGTGTCAGCTCTCAATTCAGACCCGGTGGCGAATTGAAGTCTACTGCGAAACATCCAGTACAAATCATTCCTGGCGGATTCCATTGTTCAGATCTCCGATTGAAGAACGGTCAAGTCAATGCTGGCGTCCAAAAAGTTATTGATAATGAAGTGGCACAAATAGTGGCATGGACAGCAGAGTACTACAATCAAAATTCGACTCGCCCGTCGTATGGAGGAGGACATAGACGAGGATATTAGTATGGCAGTAATCTACAACTAGGTGTACGAAAGAAATCTACCTGATTGAGTAATGAGTAATGAAGATATTCATCAACCTTGCAGCTTCTGTGAAAGAAATAGACTGGACGTCAAACATGATTCTCAAGATATCAATTGAACTTTGAATACCTAGTGACAATTCGTAGACGTGAACAAACGACCTCGTCCTTAACGTCAAAACGGGCGGGGTTTTCTAGGACGACCCGGGCGTATGTAACTAGTCCCTTATCGCTTATCGTTAGCCACTTCTGAGCACCACTGCAAAAGCAAGCTGTCCTTCCTCTCTTTTAGAAATCAAACCAACTTCTGAAAATCAGGTATTTGAATCCCAAGAACTCCTTCAAAGCTAGGAGTTTTCTTTCAATCACACAAATACTTACATCTTTTACCAGTAAAGAATCATCAAAATGGTTCTCTTAAAAAGTCTCGTGTTCGCTGGCCTTGCCACAGTTGCAACTGCCTCATCTGCCGTCATCGATCTCATTCCTTCAAACTTCGATCAATTTGCCTTCGAGGGCAAGCCAGCTTTGATTGAATTCTTTGCACCATGGTGCGGACATTGTAAGACCCTTGCACCAGTTTACGAACAGCTTGCTTCGGACTTTGCATTTGCAAAGGATAAGGTCACAATTGCGAAAGTCGATGCGGATGCAGAGAAGAGCTTGGGCAAAAAATTCGGTGTTCAAGGTTTCCCAACCATCAAATACTTCGATGGAAAGAGCAAAACCCCTGAGGATTACAATGGAGGTAGAGATATCGATAGCTTAACAGAGTTCATCACCACGAAGACTGGTGTTAAGCCAAAGAAGGCGAAGGCTGCCCCAAGTGCCGTCGAGATGTTGAATGATAAGTCATTCAAGGAGCAAATTGGCAGTGACAAGGATGTCATTGTTGCTTTCACTGCACCATGGTGTGGCCGTAAGTCTATCCAGTATCTGTGTTGACAATTACAATGACTTGCTAACTTTTTTTTTTGTTTCAGACTGCAAGACTTTGGCACCAGTTTGGGAGAAGGTTGCTTCAGATTTCGCCAATGAACCCAATGTCGTTATTGCCAAGGTCGATGCCGAAGCAGAAAACTCCAAAGCAACAGCCAAGGACCAAGGTGTTACTTCTTACCCCACCATCAAGTTCTTCCCCAAGGGAAGCACTGAAGCCGAAGCATACTCTGGTGGACGTTCAGAGGAGGATATTGTCGAATTCATGAACAGCAAGGCCGGTACACACCGTGCTGTTGGTGGTGGACTTGATGCCACTGCTGGTACTATCGAGGCTTTGGATGCTCTCGTAACCAAATTTACTGGTGGTTCAAGCATTGCTGAAATCGCCGCAGAAGCTACCAAAGCTGCTCAAGAATACAAGGAGGGTGCTCAATCCAAGTACGCCGAGTACTACGTTAAGGTCTTCGACAAGTTGAGCAAGAGTGATAACTACGCCGCAAAGGAGCTCGCTAGGTTGGATGGTATCATCAAGAAGGGAGGTTTGGCACCAGAGAAGTTGGATGAGTTTACAACCAAGACTAACATCTTGAGAAAATTCATCGAGAAGGCAACCGGAAAGTCTGAATTGTAGAAAGTTTAAGTTGTTCAATGTAAAAGGGGGTAAACGAGTTGATCTTATCACTAAAAGTTTGTTTTGGACTATTCTCGGGAGACGTAGTTAACTGTATGCGAATGAACACTTTATGAATCATGTACTTTTGAATAACTACCTTGGTATCTCGTCCCATGCCCTCCCTTTCAACGCCCGTTTGTACAATTGTAATCAAACTTCCGTATGTAAATCCACCCACGTTTGATACCACTGCAATCTATATATCCCCTCATCTATCGGCTCCAAAATTTAATCAAGAATATGGTAATGTTATTGTGCCCTGCAGATTACATCTTCGTAGGACTGCCTCGGCCATCCCCCTTCGGATCCATATTACTTTGGAGTGTAGCCTCGAGATTATCTAGACGTCGCGACATCTCATCCACTATTCACATTTAATCAGTCGTTGTACTCCATCACAACCCCAAAAGTATTTGTGAGAAGCAGAGTGTTGCGCTGGAAAAGAAAGGAGAAACATACTCTTTGCGAAAATCTCGCTCGAAACACCAGCGAATTTATTCGAGAGAGAATTTAAAAGTTCATCTACAACGAGAGAAAGCTCAGCGGTGGCTGAGGCATCGGTTGCTGCCTTTGGATAGGGTTGATAGTTAGTTACGAGTATGGAAGAGCTTGAGGTTAGGGCGCTGCTACGGATAGAATAGTGGTGTTTACTGACAGATGTGGTGGAGATGGTGGACATGCGATTTGGGTTTGGGGATTTAATATCGTTTGTTGCCATGATGATTGTGGGATAGTTGGTATAATTTTGTAGATAGATCAAAAGACGTTACTTTGGTCCAGAATTTGAGGTAGAGACAGTGTAATGTTTTGTTTTTGGGTGAGGAAAAGAAATTACAATTATTCTCAAGGTGCATGAATACAAAGGTTTCATCAGCATGTGAGAGTGGTCAGTGAAGATCGGTATTTAAGAGGGGAATGTGCCCGATGATGCCTCATTATAATGATTGATCGTACAAGATATCAAATTCACCAAAACTAATCATTTCTCGAACTTTGCAGATGCAAAATGTCTTCTCATCTTTCTCATGGATGAATAGAATATGGAATGCTCCCACACAATAACAAGAACAAAAGGCTAAACAATCCGCGAATATGCCATCCCAACGCGGCGATGTCTCTCTGTTGTTCTTCGTCATCATGGTTCTATGGTGGATCGCGTCCAATGACACCGGACTTCCATCCAACCTCGGGGATTCACAAAACACTGCAGAGGAGCAGTTGGCACACAATAGGCATGTGTTTGGAGTGTTAAATACAACAAGTTATGGGGATTTCGCACCAGAGAAATTGGACGATCCAAGCTATCTGAACTTGACCGGGTTTACGGCAGAGGATGGATATAAATGGGAGAGACTGAGTGCGTTTAGGGAGAGGAGTGATGAACTGAGGAAATGGGCGAGAGGGGTGCAGGACGGATCGGAATTTGATAGGGAGGGCGGCCGGGGATTGGAAGGCAGGATTTATACCAATGTGACCGGAGTGGTGAGGGGGAATTGGGCCAGGTACATGAGTGGTTTGGTAGATGGGAAGGAGAGGAGGGGCGGATTAAATTTAAGTGTTATTGCGCCGGGGGTCGCTTGGGCCCTTACAGACGAGGAGCTGTGGACAAGGAATGTGACGGGGAGGGAGGGCAAAGTTATGTTAAGGTTGGATGAGGCTGCGGTAGAGGAGATGATTGTACAGGTGACTAAGGAGCATGTCACTAATGGCGAAAGTTCGAGGGAAGCAAAGATTGAGAAAAGAGACATAACTGATGGGATTGAGAGAGTCGATCTTGGAATTGGCGCAAATCCGGGTACAGATATACTTGTGAGGGAGATTGCGGCCACATTAACAGTTCAAGATGAGAGTAGCAGTGGAGATGGACATGAAATGAGGATGCATGGTGTACATTGGCCAAATGAAGGGGGGATTCTTCTAACAACTACCAGTGATAAGTTCGCAGGAGCTTTTGGTCTTCCCCATTTTGCCACCGATGAGGACCATTTCACAAGTAGTGCGGAGATTATGAGAAAGATCTGTCATCGCAGACTACAAAAGCTTGAGGAATCTGCGAAAGAAAATCCGAAAAGTCTTCTTGAACCAAATTCGGGCCAAATCGATGGGTTACCAACACCTCATTGCGAATACATCTTGTTTGCTCAAGTATTACCTTTGAAGTTAAATGGCCTCGAATATGATGACAGATCACCTAATGCACACAATTTTGTCCAAGAACTGGAAAATGAACTTCGATTCCCAAATGGTGCTCCTATTCCCCAGGCGCCGAAATTACAACTATCTGCAATAATCTTCTCGCCGGATTGTGGATTTATGCTCGAATCGAAAGGTCCGCCAGAGTTCGCTCCTGTAGATGGAGAACACCTTATTGGTTTGAAGCAAGAGGTTTGGTTACAAACTATTCGTTCATGGTTAATGGTATTTGCAGCGGTAGCTCTCGGACAGGCATTGATTCTGAAGGATCAATGTAAAGAGGCTTCTACACCATCAACTGTGGGCCGTGTTAGCATCCATACTGTTGCTATGATGCTTTTAGCAGATGGATTATTGTTTTTTACAATGTCACTGGCGAGCGCTACATTATCTAGTATATTTCCATCTGCGTTATTGACATCATTTGCCGGCTTGATGTCTGTGGCACTTGGAGTTCGCTTTATCGTAAACATTTATGGAGTTCAAGAGCCTGAACGATTGGAACAAGAAAGAGCGCAAGCGGCGGCTTTGGCAGAATTGCAAGCTAGAAATCCACCTGCAGCTGTGCGACCAGCACCGATTATCACAGCAGCGGGTGTAGATACCTTACCCTTGCCTATCGCCTCTTCAACGCAGGCTCCACCTCGAAATACATCTCAAAATGTACCCATCATAGTCCCCTCGGATCAAGACGTTGACGCAGAGATAGCTGAAAATGTCAACGCGACATTCGCAGTACCTCGTCCAACGGGAACTCCAGCTACCGTTCAACAATCGAGAGTAACCTCCGACATAACTCCCTACTATGGCCAGTTTATTCTCCTCCTGACCGTGATACTTCTCCTTTCCATCATGTCCACCACCTGGCCTGTCCCTATCCGCACAGCATATGTCTACCTTTGCTCCTTCACTTACATGTCTCTCTGGATTCCCCAGATGAAACGCAACATCACTCGTAATTGCCGTAAAGCACTTCTTTGGCGTTTCGTCATAGTACAGAGTTTGCTAAGGTTATCTCCTTTTGCTTATTTTTTCCTCTATGAGGATAATTTTCTCTTTAGTGAGAGTAGCTGGACGGCAATGATGGTTTTAACGGGATGGGTTTGGTGCCAGCTTGTGGTACTGTACAGTCAAGAGGTTCTTGGTCCCAGATGGGCAATTCCAAAACGATTTGGATGGTACAAGGAGGGCTGGGACTATCATCCAGTACTGCGAGAAGATAATGTTGAGTCTGGAGGTCTACCTATTGGTCTTGTGAAAGTCCCGTTGGGTTCTCCTACCACTCCAGGATTTGAAGAAACAGATATGAGTGCGGATGAGAGGGATAATAGTAGAGCGGGAATTAGAACAGTGGATTGCGCGATATGTATGCAGATTCTTGAGGTTCCAGTTGTGGGGATAGGAGAAGAGGAGGGTGCGAAGGGCGTGTTGGGGGCGTGGGATAGGAGGAGTTATATGGTAACGCCTTGTAGACATGTTTTTCATACCCAGTGTTTGGTGGGTTGGATGAAGTATCGTTTGCAATGTCCGATTTGTAGGGAAGGCTTGCCACCTTTATGAGGTACATAGGGACGTTTCTTCGATTGAAGATTGAACAATGGATAAGTCGAAATGAATTAGACGGGAAACAAAAAGTACAGAAGCGTACATATTGGATAAGATAAGGCGCACGTTACATAGTGAGATAACAGGCTGCCATTAAAACCACTTTATTATCACAGCTTATCAGGCTGGGTTGCAGATTTTCAATTTCAGCAGGTCTAAGGACGTCTCGCCAAACGGCGACGAGATCAACTTGACAGCGCTTTGGATTTGTTGAACAGATTAGGGCTCGCGCTAAGACAAAACTTGGTAGGCTATCTGAAACAAACTGAATGCTAGGTACTTCGATACAACAACCACAATGCTTTTCACTTTTCACTTGATATTGATATGGCACATGTTGGCTGGACCGCCGCCGAGTGGCGTGGAAATGAGTCCGGTATCACATCGGTTCAATCACCATTTGATGCATAGACTGGGACACTTCTCAATTCTCAAGACTTATCATAAATTTTAATCTTCAATTGTTCGATGTTAGAATCCATGTTTTGATTATTCCATCTTTAATGAATCATTCCTAATTCTCAAGATATCCAAACTAAAACTTTTAGAGATATTGTTAAGTTGATTTTTACATTGTCCCGTCATTTCATACACCCACTGGTGAATCCTTATAGCTGTCGAAATTGGAAAGTTTGGTTCCTGGATTCCTTGCGTCTTGTATGCCCAGTGGCCATCGGCATCTTGAATCTTTGTATTACACTAGCTCTGGTCCTACATAACCATTCACGGCAGTTTGATAGTGATCCCATCGGAATTGCTTGCCACATATGCGTGATACACAATGCACTATCCATGACACACTGCTTTATACGCATCAAATTATGTGCAGTGTAGATCGTGGTAAAGCGCGAAGGCTTACAGTCTTGAAATTTTACTATTCTTGAAGGGAAAGGGTTTCTAGTTTCTTCGATCGATCTCTACAAAGATCAGTTTAAACCTCATCTCCATTCCACTCCCTACTGTCCACAGTCAAAGTCTTGACATGAAAGATGGCGGCCGCATTCACACTCAACGAAGCATCGCTTGATAGAGATTCTGTGACCAAGGCTCAATTTGAAACTATCGTGCGAAAGCTACTACAAGAAATATCATACAAACCTCTCGTAATGCATCAAGATGTAGATATGGAGAGTTTCGTTCTCGAACAATTACTGGATGTAGCGCGTGATCAGCATCTCGACCTACAGAAGCTCCCACAAATTGCCAAACTCAGCGTGCAAACTGTACACCTGATCTATCCATGGCACAAGAAGGAGCTGCTAAAGCTTATAGCCATATATACTGGTTACTTCTACGTCATCGAGATTACGTCCAGGAGCTCCTGTCCAAATTGCGAGCATTTCGTCGGAATCTTCTGGCTGTAATATTTAACGGGCCCGTCTTGGATGGCTTAACAAAGGTTTTGACCCAAATTGTAGCCCATTACGGGTCTTTCGCGTCGGATTTCATATACAGCGGTACTTTCGAGTTCATCGCTATGGTCGTATATGAGTGTGATATTGGGGAGAAACTTCAAAGGAGAGAGATACTCGGAGAGAACGCCATCTAGCAGAAATTCTACTCTATGATCACTATCAAACCAATCATGGGTTCTATACCAACTTCTGATTTTGATATTATCGTATTCGACTTGGGGGAAGTACTGAGTAGGATACCTCCTCAAGTACGTGAAGCGACAGAAAAAACTTCCATACCGACCCTCAGACGCTTGACTTCAACATCTGCCTGGATGCGTTACGAATGTGGTGAGTTTGATGAAACGCAGTCCTACGAGATGCTAGGAAAGAAATTCGAACTCTCACCATGTGCAATCGCTAAAGTCATCTCTGAAGCTCGGGATATCTTCGAATGCGGCATAGCGATTATTTCCTGGATTCAAAAACTAATAGAAGAGACGCATGGTTCGCTGAAACTCATAGCTATATGGAGAGTCCCAATCCCAGAGTATACCATTCTGTATAAACGATGGGGAGATGAGTTATTTTCAATGTTCGATGAAATTTTCACTTCTTCCGCCATCGGAGTTCGTCAGTCAGACTTAGGACTCTATCGACACGTCCTTAAAGCTATTGGAAGGAACCCCCCAAAAAACAATCCTCAAAGATAATGACATGCAAAATCTAGTCACCGCGTGCTCATTGGGTATGCACACTATTCCCTACAAAACTCTACCCGCGCTTTCCAGAACAATAAAAGATATTCTCTATGATCCATTGATTCGGGGAGATATCTTCCTAAATCGCAATGCGAAAACCTTACCTCTCCCTCCCTTATTCGTAGCGAACCGTGTTAATTTTCCTTTTTGCCTGTTCGATAATACACCACATTATTGCGGTGTTTGTTCATTATTTTTAGTAAAAATCACATGATATCATGCATCAAAAACGAGAACAACTCTACCCACGTAGGTACTCACTTAGCTCATGAATAAAATACAGGCAGGTAACATATCTTTCAACATAACAAGAACATAAACCTATTTCTATGTATCTAATATACGATCTACAAAAATAGATAAACTCGTATACCTCACTCCAAAAATTCCTCACCACCTTCCGCACTAAACTCCACAATCCCCCTATCTCTTCAACGTCTTCTGTTTCTCCGCATCCCTAACCAATTTCTCGCCCTCAACCCTCAATCCCTTCCTCTTCCTCACCCCGTCCATATATTTCTTCGCCACATTCTCCTTATCCGCCAACTCTCCCAAATCCTCCAAATCATCCTCCGTAAATGGTGTCCAGAAAGGATCTTCATCTAATACCTCGTAGCCTTGGAATATGAGCTGCGGACTTGCTGCTCCAGATGTTCTCTTGCGAATTTCGTCTGAGAAACCAAAGGAGAGGGCGACGGGAAGAAGTGATACGATGGTAAAGAAGGGGGTACCCTCTTTGAGGGATTCGGAGAGAATGTGTCCGCGACGACGTGTGAGCACGTCGTAGACGCGACCGAGGACTTCGGCTATTGCTTGTGTTAGTCTATCTGATTTACTTCCAAAGTCTTGATTGATCTATGATTTGTAGGAATAACTTACTGCTAGCCTGGATTTCACAAGAGTACATGGCAAGCATGAGTCTTGGAGACCAATCCAAGAAACCTTGTTTGATGGCTTGTTGAACCGTTTTGATCACTTCACCAGTCAATCTACCAAAGTTATCACGGGTAGATGATTCTTCATCGGTGGAAGGAGCAATGGTAACCTCTTCGAGGAAAACAGCGATACCTTGAATAGGTTCATTGCATAGGGGCCCTTGGGCAGTGGCGAGTTGGAAAGCATAACTAATTTTGTCGGAAAAGGAACGGGCTTGGAGAGCCTGGGTTTGAGTTGCTGATTCTTGAGAATCGGTAGCGGTGTCTTCACGGAGGCTTTGAAATGTTAGTATAATCTACATCATGAGAGTTGATTGGACTTACAATTTTCCAAGGATCCCTTCTGCCGTGGAATCAATCAGAAGATTAGGCCCAGCTCTTCGTGGCCCGAACGCAGTAATCTGATCTACTGCTGAAGCCCATATATCCTTTTGACCTTTTACCCCTTCGAAAGTCTTTTGAAGTTCTTCTTTGAACTCATTTAATGACAAAACTTTCTCACCACCCAATACTTCATCGACCTCTTCCTGCTCGGCTGACTCTTGTGTAGAGTCACCACCGGTTTTCTTACTCTTCTCCTCTGCTTGACGATCGGAATAAAGTCTCTTTATGGCACCAGCATTCTTGCCTAAAAATTCGGTGACCTCAACTGGAAGAGGTCTTACACGTAACCTGATTGTTATCTGCTTTGATGTAGTTGACAATACAACGGTACCTCTTCCTAGCTCCTTGTCTGCCGGAGGTTTCATATCTTCGGCTTTGACAATAGTTTCTCGATAAGGCACAATCGGTTCTCCTGCTTGAATATCACACCCAGCGAATCTTTCACGAAGATCAGTCAAACAACGCTCTAAATGTAATTCTCCTGCTGTGAGTAGAACATGTTCACCACTTGCGAATTGTTCGTACTCAGCACAAGGGTCACTCTGAACGAGTAACTTAAGACCTCGGATCATCTTATCGAGATCTCCAGGCCAAGCTGGCTCTAAAGCGACACGAACGATAGGTTGGGAGCCCATGTTAACTCCTGCGAGATTGACACTACCCTCCAATTGACTGCAAAGGGTTCCGGATTTGAGGATATGACCTTCGAGACCACCAATACCAAATACAACACCTGCTGGAACGGAAGTAAGTGGCTCTAATCCACGACCCATCAATAAGTATAAAGCAGTGACTGTAACCTTTTGTGGTTCAGGACTATTGTGTGGATTTGCAGGTGAGAACTTTGGCGGTAACACATAAACAGAATCCCCTACAGATAGAGTACCTGAATAAATTCGTGCAAAGCCTATCAGATGTTCTGGATCTGTTTTCTTCTCCTCTTCGGCGGGCTCTTCAAGGCTTACTGCTCCAAGCGCATCAGACACTCCATCAACAGATGTGGAAGCTTCTTCCAAAGCCTGCTGTCTTGCAATCTCTGCTCGCTTCCGTCGACCCATCTCCAAGGCTTCCTCGGGACTCAAGGCACCTCCTCGTCGTTTATTCTCGGGTAGTTCGCTCTCCGGTATCGAAACCATCTTACTTACATAAGCTACAACTGGCTCTTCTTTTGAAGTCTTGAATTTAATCATTGCTTCTCTGACCTTAGGATCTACATGCGATGCACCAGGAGATTCATCAATGAGTGCTGGTAGTCTCCCTTCTTGGGCGACCGGAGGAGCAGGTAGAGATTCAATGACGGAAACTAACAAAGCAGTGGATAATGGCAACCATGCCGAGAACAATGTAGTAAGAATAGCTCGTGGATCGCGGGAACGTGTAACATGTGGAGGTAAAGTAATATTTAATGACTTTGTAATTTTCTCTGTCATGGCAGGATCACTAAATGAAGTAGAGTTAGAATTAGGAATTAGATTGCATAAGACTGGATGTATAAACAAGATAAAGGAAAGATAGAAATCCACGCACCCCTTTCCGTTATCACCGCCTGTTGTTGCTGCATAAACCGCCCATACCTGTTCCAAAACTAATTGGACAAATAATGGTTTTAAATTTCGCCCCTTGAGATGCTTTGGTCCAAGTACCTTTTTGGTTTTTGGATCCAGATAGAAATCTCCCCACAAGACTTTCTCCATCGCAGTTCTCTTGATTCCCAACTTCTTCTCATATAAGCTGGCAAACTGTCTAACCGTGAATGCCCATCCATCAATGGCACTGCTAAATATGACGTTATTTTTCTCTGGCGCAAAGTAGATATCCTCATCATCTTTTTCTTGAAATTCGTTCATAGCTTCGGTATCAATTGAGGTGCTTCCATCATTTGCTGTCTTTTCTTGTTCTTTGGCAGCGGCAGCAGCAATTCTCTCGTCGACTTTTTCTCTCCAGTTCAGATCTTCCTCCATTCTCTCACCTTGGAAAAAACTTCCGAGTACCGCATTAACTTGCTCCAACAATTTGCTCAAATGTGTATATGCTTCCGCGGGTGTCATTTTCAGTTCTGTAATGAGTCTGTCCATCTTATTGATTACCAATAGAGGCTTCATATGTTCTACCCATGTCTGCCTTAGAACAGTAACAGTCTGACTGCAGACTCCTTCTACAGCATCCACTAATACAACAGCTCCATCACACAATCGCGAGGCAGTTGATACCTCACTGCTGAAATCGATATGTCCTGGCGAATCTATCAGATTGATCAAGTATTCCTTCTTTTCGGGTGTAGCATCTGGCGCATTTCGTCTCAACATGGAAAAGTATAACGAAATGGCAGAAGATTCCATGGTAATTCCGCGCGTCTGTTCATCTGGTCGAGAATCGAGGTATCGTATTTTACCCGCGAGTTTTGGGGAGATGATGCCATTGGTCGCAATCAAGGCATCTGAGAGAGAAGTTTTTCCATGATCCTAAAGATATCAGCAATGAAAAAAGACATATGAACGGGATATATACTTACAACATGTGCTAATATACATATCTTAAGAGAATGTTGTTAGCATTGAGAGTCTTAACATGAAATCTACCCCGCCAAAGACCTACGTTTCTAATATCAGGCGCGTTTTGTTGCAGAGCAACTAGTTTTTCTGGATTAACAATCGGCATTGTGTATATGGATGTAGAATATATGTGTTTGATATGAATGAAAAATTGGAGGCAAAATTTATATGCGCAAAGAGTAGTTCTATCTCCTGTCGAGTCTACCTGTTTGGGGCGACTTTGTCTAGTGGATGTTTACTGGAAGTGATGTCTCTATACTTATCAGAGCTTCGGACGCTTTCCTAGGTGGTATAGACTGAGTATTTAATGCACAAAAAAATGACTCATAATGATTCAATATGTTTCGATGAGAGGAATAGTGTGTGATATATTGTAAAGTATCTTGAACTTCGACCGTATGATAGAAAATGTACGATGTATTATTTTCTGACGCGGCCGCTCCTCCGAGCTTTCATAACGTCACCGAACCCCGCCAAATCGTAAAGATTAACAATTATCACTTCACATGCTACTCAGAAAAATCCTAAAAATCTGAACTTTTCAGAATAAACTTGAAATAGTCTGAATTATATATCTTTAAATTTTCAATAAATTCTATCCACAACTAAAAAAGTTACTAATAAACTAAAAAAGCGATTTTTAGTATAAATGAGTAGTCTAAAAGAGAAGTAATTAGAAAGTAGAGTACTCGACTTAAATTTAATATTAGATTTTCTTAAGATATACATACTCACTTTTACTTTAATGATTTTATATCAAAATCTAATTTAAAAGCTATAAAGAAAATCAATATTATTATTAGTTCGATAGCTAGTTGAGTATATATAGTACTCCTTTAAATCATTATAAAAGCGATATTATATTCTCTAGTTTAGAATGATTAAGATATAAGATCGAACTGTTTTCATCTTTAGTAATTAATTAATTCTTTATTTTATTATTAATCAATTTCAAACATATACATTTACTTTTATAATTCTTTATTATGAGATGTCTAGAATAATAATAGTAAAGAATCTTCTTTTAGAACTATTTGTATTACTTGAGGAGGAGATTAGAATCTAAATCATTAAGTAAAGTATTATAAAAGTCTATATAAAATGAATAATATAAATTGGAATATTTATATAGTGCTATTCTTAATCAAGCCTAGTCGACCCCCTGCTAAGCGTATAACCTATAATAAAATAAATAAAAATATAGAGGAAGTTTACTTATTTAAATTAACTATTAAGTTTAATATAAGAATTTCAAAATATTAATGAAATGAAAGAAAACTATTGAAAACTATTTAAATTTATAATTGACTTCGAATTAGTCTAATGGGCTTATAAAAGTACTAGCCTATATTAAAGTAATTAAATTCATAAATTAGATCAATTTAAATTAAAATATATAATGAGATTAATTTAATATATCTATTAAGGGAATATATAAAATTCTATAATAAGTATATTAAATCATTACTCATTAATATCTTATTAAATAAGAGATAGATTAATAACTAATACATATATAATATAATTTTATATTATAAAATCATATGTATATTATATTATTATATTTCTTATTAAATGAATTTATAATGAAATAGAATGTAATAAAATCATATAAAAAATTATTATCAAATCGGACTAAATTAATTGATTATACTTTCTTTTTATAATATAAATGATTTTATAAGATTCGATTCAAACCGATCTTATTTATAAGTATAGAAACTAATAGAATTTCATTATAAACTATATAAACCTAGAATATTCTTTAAGAGAAACCCTAGAAAAAGCAAGAAAATTTAGATCTATTCAAGCTCTTTCTTATAATTTGACTTCAATTCAACTTTCATACTATATTCGATTTATCCCTAAAGCTAAAGTGACTAAGTCTTCCACTAAATACTAGAATACTAATATATTATTATTATTATTCTAGAAGTCAACCTCCAAGAGTTAAAACGAGGGGTTGAATTAAATTTTCCAAACCCGAAGAAGGTCAGATCTCTATGGATCGCTGTCGCGAATGGTCATATCGACATAGTCCGGTTACTTCTTAACTATTTCAAGCTCAATATGGGCTTCTTTTCGCACGCGATAACATAACATTGGACAAACGCAGCCAAAACAAAAATCGTAGAATGTGACAATACAAATATTGGTATCTGCAAACGAGAAGAGATTCACCATTGGCATAGTGTGATTCTTGCTGATCTGTTTGCTTTTAGCCCACTGATATAGAATCAGCGAAGGAGCAGCCTGCCGACTCAAGTGATATCAATAATCATTTAGCATTTACTTTTTCTAAAACCTTGCTTATTCAAAGTGATCTCAGTAAGATCTCCTTTGTGAATTACATTCATATCATACTTCTAGCCCGTCCTCCTGCTCCCTTTCATATATAAGCAAAGTGTATCCTTAGCCTTCTTTCCTCCTTGGATTACAATCTTGAATATAACCCAATTTGACCTTGCTCAATTCTATCACCTGACAACTCAGACTCATTTGCTCGTCAATATGAACAAAATCAAGCGCATCCCTCTCAGCACTTGTCAGTATGGATCAAGATGTAAATTCTCTCATATCAAACATCTTGAAGATCGCACCTCCAAGGTACATTGCAAACATCTTGACTTTGATACCTTGTATCATTCCTCTTCAAATGATTTTTACTAAAGTTATGTGGTATATCAGCCTATCAAAGTGTCAAAGCCTCTCAAAGGACAACGACAGCGTACTGGCAACATCGACCACTTCTTTGCTAGATATCCCAACTTTGTTTACGAATCATCAGCTCCAATATGGATGGAATTCAATCGTTTGTGTAGTCATTTCAATTGGGATGATGACGACTACAATATGCGAGAGGCAAAGCGAAAGTTCAAGTCAGCTATGGTGCAAGAGTTTAATGTCATCTATGGTACAGATGAAAAGAATCTTGGCTTGTGGCAGAAGCTGTGTTATGTCTTGAACATTGAACCTGTGCCAGAGAGTCTAAATGAATGTCGCAAAGTTAGTTTTTTCTTTAACAATATGTTTCTCCTTGAGAGCAATTGAAACTAACAAGAAGCAGCATGTTCTTCGGACACATGTAAATCTTGTGGATCTCGTGGAAACTCCTCGAACAGGAAATCCTGTGGAAATTTTCGCAGATCTGAAGGACCTGCGGGAGTATACAATCAAGAACGAAAAGTTCTTTCCTAAGGAGGATGCATATGCTGGTGGTTTATTGAAATTCTTGCTCCGGGAAATTTCCTGAGTGAGTTGGTTGTTTGTCAAACTCTCAATGGTATTTAAAACAGTCGAAGCTAGAGTAAATCGGGATTGATCGATATTTAGCTGTTCAAGCCACCTCATCCCATAGAATGTGGGGTAATATAAGGTTGATGTTATTGTAGCAAGCCGGAGCTAAGTAATGCCCATCGCAGGCTCCTTCAACTCCATTCTAACTTAATTGCCTGATGTGTGTGTTTGCCATTTTCTTTTGCTGTACTATATACTTGCAAATGAATTTAACCGTCTTTATTCGTATTAACCCGAACTTGGGACTAGATACAAAAATCCTTAGTCTAGTATCAACTACACGGTTCCTTCCCATTCTCTCGTCACCTTCTGGTCATGGACACCCCAAGCTAGAAATTTATTCTTCAACGCAACCAATCGTGCTCTCTTCCTTTCGACTAACGCCATTTCTCGCTTATTCTCTTGAAGCATCTCTTCAATGTCTTGTACTGAAGAAGTCAAGAATACATTCTCATCGCTGAGGTGTTTGCGAGATGACGTTTTTGGTCTTGTACGTCGACCAGCCGGTGATGTATTCTCTTGGCTTTGAGATGCTGTTCTAGGTAAGTAAGAAATCATAGAGCCACTGGGATTAACTTACGGGAAGTTGAATTAGAACGCTCACGCTTCTTACTTGATGATGTAGTCGAACTTTCTACTATATGTTAGATTAGCAAGATTAAGATGAGAGTTGAAGACTCAGTGGAGGATGACAGTTTTTGATCCTTTTGCACCTTCCGAAGAGTCACTGGTGGGGCTGACTCCTCGTCACTCGAGTCGGTTAAATCGATGACAATAAGCTCTGATGGATGTTGCACAGATATAGTTGTAGTCAACTGCTCTGTCTCTACTTCGCAAGGTTTGGATACGATAGCCTCGTTATCAACCACTTCTGATGCTTCTGAATCCTTCGAAAGAGCCTCTGGCTCGCAGGCAGTCTCATCTAACACTCTCAAGACTGGAGCCTCCAAAAGATTGGTGAGAGGCACAGATTCCCAAACACCCTCATTGTCGACAATTCCAGTAGCTACTGGGCATGTCGGAACAGAGAGTTTTGAAGGGGTTTCCGCCGATAAGTCCGAAGGTACTTTCATAATTGAGTCAAGTACGCCAGATGTAGAAGGCTGAGCGAGATTTGGTGATGTTTCTTTCACTGATTAGACATTCTCTTCGTCAAAGGAGTCGATTTGAGAACAAAATTCCTCAAATGACATATCCATACTTGTATCTGCAGAGTACTTGTGAAGATCAAAGTTGTCTAAGAACTCGTTGTCAGATTGCCAGGAGTCAGTAATACTACTGTTGCTGCTGCTGTCGTTGAGTTCTAATGGTTGGCCTGTTGAAGTCATAACGATGGAAGATGTTGGAATCATAGTGATAGGTTGGTGAATTGAGATGGTAAATGGTTTGATTGAAAAGAAAGATGAATGAACAAACTCAGAACTGGATGCAAGTCACCTTATTATACTCGTTCTCTCCCAGGGATCGCGGACCATCGGGGGTCATATCATAGTCTCCTTAGCCCTGGTCGAGGCAGTGGGCAACACACCTTTCTCAACATACCACTATTATATAATTATCAATCTTCTTTATTATAAAACTTTAGAATCTCTTTATTTCAAAAAAAATATTAATAAAATAAAATAGAAATAAAAATCATAGGTTTTAAATAAAACTCAATTTAATTAAAATATTAAAAAAAGTTTAGAATTAGAATTGTTTATATTATAAATAAAATTCAAGATTTCTAAGTGATGTTTCTAATAGATATTAATTAAATCACTTAATATTATTATATTATTAAAAGAACTAATCATAATAATGAAAATTCAAATGAAAATTCATTATTATTATAAAGAAATAAAAATTTGATATTATAAGAAAAATTCATAAATTCTTCATAAGAAAGAAGACTATTATAATATCAAATAAAAATTCTTTATTAAAAAGAAAATCCTTTATTAATTCTTTATTCGAAATGACAATTTATTATTTTGAAATTTTTGAAATATCATGTAGAAGCTAGTTTAAATGCGAAATGGTAGATGTAACAATAAATTTTCTTTATTAAAAAGTTAATTTTAAATTAATAAAGAAAATGATCTCAAATTAATTCTAATTTCAAATCAGATTGACATATGTCACCTACATATTATAGGCCGTACATGGGGTTGAAAAAGTATAAATAAGTGTCTTAGTGTTACGATGGGTAACAGAATGCCATGTGACAAGTGTCACGTGGTGAAGTCCCCAGGAGCCAGGGCTCCAAGGAGGTCCTTGGGAGCCAGGACTCCAAGAAACTCCAACCAACATCAGAGTACGAAGATCTATATAGGGAATGGGTTTCATTACAATGTAGAGCTTCGTGCTCAAGAACAATCATTAGTTTCATTACTATAGTTACGAGAATTGCAACCAGTTACCAACCTTATTGAATTCCTACTTGAAGTCTAGTCTAAACCACCTCGAGAGATCTCTAGACACTTCCACGTGACCCTAGAGGCAGCTCCCGTAACACTTAGGCCTCTAAAGAAAGATCTTATTCTAGTACTCACTTTCAAAAACTTATTAAGTAGTTAATTAATATACGAATTAAACTGAGATTCTATTTATATATTATAATGATTCTATTTATAAATTCTATTAGCCTAAGCTTTTTATATAGTACTATTCCTAATCGAGCCTAGTCTACTGTTACGGGAGCTGCCTCTAGGGTCACGTGGAAGTGTCTAGAGATCTCTCGAGGTGGTTTAGACTAGACTTCAAGTAGGAATTCAATAAGGTTGGTAACTGGTTGCAATTCTCGTAACTATAGTAATGAAACTAATGATTGTTCTTGAGCACGAAGCTCTACATTGTAATGAAACCCATTCCCTATATAGACCTTCTTGCTCAGTGTGATCAGTACGGCTCAGTACTGGTTTGTTTGTACTTTCATGGCTCAGTGTCTATCCCGCTGAGGCAGACTGAGCCAACCACGTGACTTAGTGCCCCAGTCCCGTGCCTATGTTGCGTCGTTCGTAACATCTACCCCCTGCTAAGCGCATAACTTGTAATAAATATATTATTCATTTTTATCAAAATTATAAGTTTTATAGTTATTATCAAAAAATCCCTTTTAAAATTATAAAAATTCTCAGAATTCTATGGATTTGATTGATTGATAAGCTCATATTAAGCGATGGAGCTTATTTCTTGTAATCCTATCTTGAAGAATATAGTTATGTAGTAGGTATACTCTATAAGACTCATCAATAGCTTAATTCTGTTTTAACAATGACATGGCCCTTCCTGCTTGAATCCGGAATACCGTTCAACATCCCATTTCAGATTTGATCACCATTGCTCATCAGATCCAAATGCATTTCTATATCCGGATTCAGGTTTGACTATCACATAACTCTTTAGGGTTGGGAATTAAAAGTGGTATAGCATTTATCTTACACATCATGTACAAGAAAACGAAAGTCGCTTATGGACCGATCCGTAAGTACACATACTCGATACTTGATGCTAGGAAGTACCAGCATCGCACAAATGCAACTTCACATTCAACTATCTCATAAAGTTTCTGTTGGTCTTGTCTCCATTGGACAATCATCTATCTATCCCTCAGAAGGATTTCGGCCATTCTTACCGTCAATAGAAAAGAGTAATAACCTGTTGATGTATGAGCAAGAAAGACCAACTAAGTAGGTACAGAGTGGAGAGAGACAAATTGATCGTGCCAGCTAGAATTCGGTCCAAAATAGGTATGCTAGTAATGATATCACGCTTTTCGTACTAATCTGGACTTCTGGACTAGAAAATATTGTACAAATGTGCCTACCCTCAAGATAATCTAATTTGGTATATTTCGGATGAACTGATATCCGCAGTGAGTGCGACAGGTAGGAGAGATGATAGGGGTGTTGTGATGAAGCGGTGTTTCTCTAAGCCCTTACACATTTCGAGCAATGATTAGACTAAGAGTGATGATGTGAACTGTTTGTAACTTCCACTTTAATCCTTTTTGTACAAAGAGGAAGACTATGAAAAGTGCCACGGAAACGTTAGCGACTACCTTTGAGAATATCACATCGGCCAAAAAAATTCTAGAATGGCTGAATCAAATTGATCCACTTGGAAATAAATGTTCAGACAAAATGCCACGACTTCCTAATGTGCTGTTTCTTTCAAATTAACTAACATGCATGCAATCACCATTCATACCGTGAATCATCGATTCCCTATCACGTTCACGAATCCAAAATGCAATCCTTCATCCCCCCAGAATCTCGCTTAGCACTTTCCCAGGCAGTCGACTTAGCCATTGCCGTGACTTCCCAGAATTGAAAGAAGAAGACTAGCAGTGGCCGTCATTACCGTTAGAGCTTTCGCCATGTATCCTTCTTTCCTGCAGACGTGAAGTATTGAATATATTAGAGTAGACAATTGCTCACTTTCTTTGTTTTCCTCCATTTCCTTTTCATCAACTCATCTCAATACTAATTTCTTCTCTATACTTTTCTTTCTCTCGAGTTTCTTCTTGTACCGTTCTATTCTTTACTGAACGGATTCTGAGGTCTTGATTACCACGATGCCATTGTTGAAGATCACCTCGGCATCATTTCCACCGTTTCTCGCTGGTACCAGAGATGTATATACATCACCACGTAAGTCAATACAACCTTCCATACCAGCGACTCTTGGCAGGTCACTAATATACTTGCGGTCAGCAAATTTTGCCTCGCCATTAAAATTGAACCGGTCAAAATGATCATCGCAGCAGGGTGAAATACTGCATGTACTGTGTTTTGACAGAGTGTGAAAGGTCACATATTAAGGTGAGGGTAACCTTTGCAGCTGAATTTCAACAAACCTCTGAGGCTTTAGCCAGTGACGAGAATGTTGTTATCCCTGATACGATATGTATGCATTGGCTACCCCATACTTCTTTACGGAACCGAGCGTCCATATCGAAATCCTCAACCAAGAGAGAATGCTTGAACGGCTCTTCGAACAGAATTTACCCAACATTAAGAAAGCGTACCGGTCAAACGAGCTGGTGACTCTCTGACAAAGTCGGCTACAATGAGGTATGTTAGGCATCAACAACTTTGCCGTGTCGTTGATGCATTGTGCTAATGTAATTCAGAAGTGCAGTGTCGCTGGGAACCGGAGGTTGGAGGTAATACTACCTCACTCAAAAAGTCATCGCCGACAACACTAAGTGCTGTACCTAGCTTGCGACGACATATCGACTGTGATTTGGAGGACAGCTTTGAAGATATCTTGCAGCAGAAGCGTGGGCGATGGAAATTGAGGAAAGGTGTCATATACATGTGTTGTCCAAAACTCAGCTTGTATGGTCAAGAATTCAAAGATTCCAATGTTTGAACCGCATGACCTTTAAATTGAATCATGTAACTTATGATATGATGGTAGAATCTTTTAAGAAGTGCAATGAATATGAGGCTGGGTTTGCAGCGAGTCAGAACACGTGATGCATGGCCACCAGCGATGACTCGCTGTCTCGAGGCTGTCTAGTTGGCTCTTAGTGTTTTTCTAAGAGATATAAAATCCCCACACAACCTCCAAGGTGTTACGACGGCATCCAACATACCGCGTCACATGACATAAATTACACGTGATGGAGCGTCAAGGAGCTTCAGCGCTCCTGGAGCGCATTGCGATCCTTAACGATCCAATATATCGGAGAGGTCCTAGAGACCAGGATAGAAAACGAAGGTCTATATAAGGAAATAGGTTTTATTACAATGTAGAGCTTCATACTCAAGAACAATCATTAGTTTCATTATTATAGTTACAAGAATTGCAATCAGTTACAACCTTATTGAATTCCTACTTGAAGTCTAGTCTAAACCACTTCAAGAGATCTCTAGACACTTCCATGTGACCCTAGAGGCAGCTCCCGTAACACAAGGAAATCCCCAAGGCTATTAATACAGTCAATACATACTCGGCGAAATAATCGAAGATGTATAATATAAACTAAAAACATTTATAACTTCAATGTTTTTAAATAGAATAAGCTATAATTGATATATATAATTAATGAATATAATAACTATAGTATATAAAAGTTTCTAAAAAATTAAAATTAAAATGATTGTAAGAAGAACGATTAAATTTATTAAATTTACTTAAAAGTATTTATTTTTGAATACTTTTTCGATCTTTAATAATTCGGTTGATTTAAGACTTTTGATATCGAAATTTAAATATATTATTAAAAAAAACCTCGCTTTTCAATATATATATTTTTATAAAGATTTATTTATAATTAAAAAACTTATTTATATTTGAAATAAAAATAGATTATTTTTAAAAAAGTAAATTCACTTATTTTTTAAGAATATCAAGAATATTAAACATAAAAACTAGAAAATTTAATGTATTTATTTAACTTTAATCTTTAATAACTTTTTTATTCTATAAAATTAAAAAGAAAACTCTTTTTTTAATAAAATATTATTTAATTTTCAATTAGATTTTGAAATATAAAAACAAAAGATTGAAAATTAATAAAAATATACAAAACCTAAAATGTATTATGAAATTATACTTATTTTCATTAACTTATTAACTTTAATATACTATATCTCTTTTATTTTTCATTCGAATTCTATAAAACTTTATTTCTATAGTTATAGAAAATATATATATAAATTACTACATAAAGATTTGTTAAATTAAAATAAAATTTATAGAAGTTATATTCAATTTTAGTTTATACTATACATCTTTAATTATTTCGCTGAGTACATATCTATCTGTATTACTACAGAGTGAAAAAAGCAATACAGTTTCCACAATCGTAACAGGTTCTATCTATGACGATATCCATTTCAAGAGGCAGAAAGTTTTTATGAATGATGATCTTAGCATACCGCTCTCGAGATGAGATTCTGAGATTAAACGCATCAATGCCAAAGTCGTAGTTGTATTATCGATGATGATATACTCTGAGACATGGAAACAAACTCGAATGCCGGCAGTACTCAAGGGGGGTGGAACAAATTACTGTAACAAGCATTGATAGTGGACACTCACTCTGAAGTTTTGAAGCGACAACAAATCAAATGCCCAAAAAGGGGGGGGATGGGGGGCAAGAAACGAAGGTGGATGAAGGAAACTGTTACGATCAAGCTTTCCCATATACGACTTTAGCAGACGTCGAAAAAGCTCCGAGTACCGTAATACATTTTTTATCTTGGGAGGTAAGTAAGATCTTGAGGCTATTGATTGGTTTCTTTTTCTAATTTTAGACACGTTCTTATTGCGATGAAACATCTTTTTGATTAGCTATATATAGGTATAGGTATAGGTATAGGTATAGGTATATTCGAGGGATGGGTGGGAATCATGGGTAGGTAAATCCAATTATCATCTACTCGAGTCCATTGTCTGTCTGTATCCCAATTCTCTCTCCTGCTCCTCCTGCCTATCATTTCAGCCATCTAGCTAACCAAGTTCAACTCAAATGATTCGAAACCCGTTTGGCGTTCATCAGATGAATGATCAGATATCAAGGCCAAACCGCCCTTGTAACGGTTAAAGCAACGTTTGGAAGATCTTCACCCAATCAATCCTTTCTTCTTTAAGTTCATTCCTACACTGTACACTGTAGATTTATCCCCATCGTAATCCTTGATGGATTCGGTTTCACCATCATAGATTCAGAGGTGAATATGATCGGGAAAAGGTCCAGATGTCAATGACCAGACCGGTTAATAATAATAATACTAATAACTACTAATAATTATAATAATAATAATATAAAACCACCAGCCAACAAGAAAAGAAAGGAGTTGTTGTGTGAATGGATTTGGTTCTTTGTGTAAATACATATAAATCTATTCTTATTCTCCTGACAATGAGTAGATTCTAAAAATCAGATTCCACAGTACATTCATTACATTACACTCCGTACTTGTTGCCTCGAATAATGAATGCAGTCTATCTTAACCTCATCCTCATCATATCTTAGAGAGCGGTGACAATCTTTTGATATTTACATCAACAACCAGACAGCCAGACGAAACCACATCACAAACATCATCCACCCTTCCAAACCCAAAATCGAGGTGGCTGAACAGAGCCGAAACTTCAATCCTCAAACTCTAGACCAGAACATTTTTCTCAAGAGTATTACACTAGGATTTTGGGCTTTTCCCTAAAAAACTAGCTTGAGCACTTCTTTCTACAACATTTATTAACAATAATACACGACAGACCCGAACAACTTAATATCAAACTCCGAAGCATAACCTCTTCTCTACCACAATTGAAATCCTTCAAATCATAACCCCATCGTCAAAATCGCATAATCAATTATTTACAGTATACATGCCTGGAATCATCATGGCGGAAGTCCAGCAACCGTCTCTACAACAAAGCCAACCACGAGCAATCCCTGGACAGGACGCTGCTTTGCAGATATCACCCCCAGCTTCCACAAAATTACCGCAATCTGCCTCTACAAATCGCATTCGAAATTCGCATCTCGCTTTAGATACCTTTTCTCCCGTAAACCAGAATGGAAGCTTCGAGTTTGATCGTGTATTAAAGAGTGGTTGTTTGCAGAAACGAACGAGGAAAACAAAGGTATGATTTCATCAACTAGATTTATACGTACATTTACTCATCTACATTCCGCAGGCATGGAAACCCGTCTTTCTCGTCCTGAGACCAAATTATCTCTCCATCTACAAAGATCAAAATGAAGATAAACTTCGTCATAAGATTCACCTCTCCGATCTCACAGCCGTCGCCTTTCTCAAAGATCCCAAACAAAAACGGCGCAATGTCTTCGGTCTCTTCACTCCCGCTCGCAACTATCATCTGGAAGCCACCACCAAAAACGACGCCGAACAATGGGTCGATCTCATCCGCAAAGAAGCACGAATCGACGAAGAAGAAGAGGAAGAAATGTTACTCGCCAGTCCCTCCGGCAACGTAAATAGTACCTATCCGGGCTTCGATCAAAGCATGGCGCACGAACAACTGCAGCGAAAAACCGAAGCTCAAATCCTGCACGACGAAAGACTAGGGAGCAGTTCCCCGGAACCCACAGAACCCATCATCCCCCGCGCGAATAAGAAACAAAACATGTCAGCCATAGGAGGAGGAAGACGTCCTTCCAACACCATTGAATATTCCGGCAACGAACTCGTCTCCGACGCCGAGTTCTCGGATACAGATCTTGCGCGTGTCCCCGGCATGTCGACGCTTTCTCTCAGTCTGCACAATCCTCCTCCGAACCCAAATCCCAATCCTAATCCCGATCTCGAAGTCAAACCTCCCGCGACCACTCTCCCTCTCGGTCGCAATACATCACAATTATCCCTCTCGCACCCGAATCCCCTCCCCGAACACGATCCCGAACGTGTAGTATACCAAGGATATCTTCTCTATCTGCGCTCGAAAAATGGAATTCGCTCTTGGAAAAATCTCTGGGTTGTGCTTCGTCCCCGCTCCTTATCGTTCTATAAAAATGACTCGGAATACTCGCCCGTCATGATTTTACCCATGGAAAATGTAATTAATGTGGTGGAGATTGATCCGTTGAGTAGGACGAAACGATATTGTTTTCAAGTGATTGGGGAGGAGAAGAGTTTTAAATTCTGTGCAGGAAGTGAAGGAGCGTTGGTTAATGTGTTGGGAGCGTGTAAGAGTTTATTGGCGAGGAGGAAGGGAGGCGTGGGGGCTTGAGTTTGGGGTGAGAGATCTTTTTTCTATTGTACGGGATGAAGATGCAATGGAAGAGACCAGATGATATGGGAAGATAAGAAAGAGAATTCCTAATATCCAGCGTTGGGAATTGTACATAAGCTGGTAGATTTGAGCGAGCGGGAATAGGAGGGGGAGTATGGATACAGGCAATAGATGCAGAAGAAGAAATAGTGTGGTTGGTATCTGATCAAGGCGTTGGGAGCGGGAGCGGGAATAGGAGCGGGACTGGGATGAAAGTATAGAAAATCCCGGACTGATATAATCACGACACGAAACGAAACTTATGATGAGATGTAAATATTACTCGGAATTATTATGCATATTTTATTTTGTGGTTTTGTTTGTGTTTGTGGATGTGTATGGAGGTATGTGTATACTTGTTTACGCATTGATTGTCTTACTAGTTATCTTCGTGTTGGTTTGCTGGTTTATTCTTGGAGAGGGGGTTGTTTGGGGGCGGGAGGAGGGATGTGAGGGTGTGGGAGCTGAGAAAAGGGGGCTGAGAAAAGAGAAGAAGAGAAGAGGATAGGAGAGGAGTTTGTTGATTTATTCCATTTTGCTTTGTTCTACTCTGTTCTGCTCTACTCTACTGTGTGATTTTAAGATGATTGATGATGAGATCGATTGGGATACGCTGGGATAATGGAATAGGTTGGGATCAGCTGGGATGATGGAATAGATCTACATGGATTGTGGAGTTTAGGACTTGAATAGCTATCTAGGGTAGCAGAGTTAGAATACCCACGGTAACGGAGGAAGGATACCTAGGTAGGTACAGCAGCAGCGGGGCGGAAATATTGGAAATGATGGGAGGGGGAGAAGGGGTTAGGTTGGAATGGTGGAAATGGTGGGAAGGGGATGGGTGAGGAGAGTGAGGAGAGTGAGGAGAGTGAGGAGAGTGAGGAGAGTGCGGAGAGTGAGGAGAGTGAGGAGAGTGAGGAGAGTGAGGAGAGTGAGGAGAGTGAGGAGAGTGAGGAGAGTGAGGAGAGTGAGGAGAGTGAGGAGAGTGAGGAGAGTGAGGAGAGTGAGGAGAGCGAGATATAAAGAGATGAAGATAAGAAGAATAAGATAATCAAATAAGAGAATAAAAAGACATAAAAAAGATAAGAAAAGATAAATATAAAAAAAAGGAAATAAGAAAAAGAGGAGAAAGAGTAAAAGGGAAAAGAGAAAAGAGAAAAGGAAGAAAGGGAGAGAGAGAGAAGTGGAAGGTGTGTATTTTATATGTATGTATAGATATATAGGAAAGGAAAGGAAAGGAAAGGAAAGAATAATATATATTAAGAAGAAGGTGAGATGGAAGAGAGGATGAGATGGGAAAGGGAGGCAGGGAGAAGGATAAAGAGGGCGAGGAGAAGTAAAGAGGAAGAGAGATTGATGGATGGAAGAGATAGATAGAGAGATGGAGTGGGAAATAGATGGAAAAGGAGAGGGAGAGGGAGATATGGAGAAAATGGGGAACGAGGGAGAAATCGAGAGATGAGAAGGACTAGACGAGGATGAGGAGAGGAGGGAGGCGGCATATATACAATATATATATAAATATATAATAATGAAAAATGAAAAGAGAAGAGAAGAGAAGAAATAAGGGGAAAGATAATATTATAATAATATAAATCAAGATTAAAACAAAACTAGAAAGCGAGAGGGATAGATGGGGGACAACAATGGAAATAAAAAATAGAAATAGATAGTTAATTTATTAGAGAGGAAGAGAAAGAAAAGAAAAGAAAGAGAAGAAAAGAAAAAAAAGAAAAGAAAGAGAAAAAGAGAAAGAGAAGAAGAGAAAGAGAAGAAGAGAGGGAGAGAAAATAAAGATGGACATATATAGTCAGCGAGGGGGGAGGAAGATACATAGTTAGAGAGGGAGAGAGGGATACTGGAAGAGACGAGGAAGAGAGGAGTGTATATGAGGATTCGCAGAGGGAGGTGGATAGTTAACGAGGCAGAGAGGAAGAGAGAGTGACAACGAATATCTACTCAACTGTGTGTTTTAGTTTTGTATACCTACCTGGGTACGTAGTAGACGCATATCATACATATAATACCTACCTATCAGGTACCGAATACCAAATACCAAATACCAAATATCAAACACCCAATCAACAATATAAGCACATCTCAAGTTTTTCCTTGAAGAAATTTCTTCTATTCCCCTATCTAATAGACAAGATGACCATCTATCTATCCATCTATCTACCTGTGTATTTAGCTAGCTAGTGGAAGTTTGAAACTACATAGGTACCTAGGTACTGTTGAAATCTAAACGTGCATGTAGACCTGCGATGTGTACATATCCATACCAAATACCACTTCTGCTCGCACCATATTGATAGTGGTTATCCCTAGGATCTCGAAAACTCTCGATTCCTTCCTGCAATATCATTCGCTGTGCCCTTTCCTACACACCCTATCATTATACCCCATGCAAGTTTCGTTTATATCCTTCGTGTTATCGTTCTTGTATCATTTCCCTTCGCATCAAGTTATATTGACTTCGTCTTATAGTGTAAGGATCCAGTCCCTCATATTATACTCCATACAAGTCTTTGTACCGTTCATCGCTGTCGTACTCCATTGCATACAGCAAAACCCAATTTCATAACAGAAATCCAATCCGTTCTTTGATGGTGCAATTGCAAATCAGTGCAGCGAAGCCCATACCGTAGCCAATCGACTTTCATCCTGTTCGTGATCATGTTATTCGTTTTGACCGCACTGTAGAAACCCCAAATCGAAATCCCTATTTCGTTGTCCATCTAGCTACATTACCACTTCCGCCACCATTTCCCTGAATTTACTCCTTCAGGTCTTTGTTTTAATATTGTGTAATCAAAACATCTGGAACGTGTAAACCAACACCCTCCTCCATAACCGCAACTCCATCCTCTACCTCCAATGGTTCTGCGCCGAAGAAGTGACCATCGGACTCGGTGGCTTCCATTAAAGTAGGTGTGGTAGGTGTGGCTAGAAGTGAGACTTCGGATGGATTTTGTGCAGGAAGGGGAATGAGTACTGCATGATTTTGAACGATGTTGGAACCCTTTGTTCTGGATGGATTGGTGCTATTGTTTGAGTGGTAGACAGGGGCCGATCTTCCAACGTAAGGGAGATGATAAGAACTGGATTCATCAGATGTTGAAGTACTGTCAGAAGAAGAGGATGGGAATGATCCAGTGGTAGAAGAAGGGGGCTCGGAGAAGAAATTTGATCGATGGTAAGGTGTAGGAACTTGAGGTACAGAGTTACAGGAATTTGTTGGAGGAGGTGAAGAATTGGTGTTCATATTGTTGGAGTTGGATGTGTTAGTCGATCGATCAGTCAAGATACCAAGACCAAGATCAGTTGCTCGTCGTTGAGATCGCAAGTTTCGGGATCGTGGTCTATTTGGTTCCTGTGTCAAAGTTAATTCTTATTCTTGCATGTCAAAAACTTGGGTGGTCGAAAGGAGAACATACAGCAGGAACTGGATTTGGTCTCAATCCCAAATGTTTAACAACATCAACATTGGCCACTGGTCTAAACTTTTGTAAATTGAATCCAAATCCAGTGGTGGCGGTACAGGGTAAGTCATCATCTGCAATGGCATTGAGACTAAGATAGCTGCGATCAAGGAGTGTGGGTCGGCAAGTATGACAGCATTTGAACTGACACTCTGTACCTCTTGATGGCAACCATGGGCGTGGATTAGTAACTCTCAAATTTGGCACTGTTTGCGAGGTGATTGGAGATGGGCGGGAAAAAGGATTGAACAAAAATCGTGGGATGTTACTGGAAGAGTTCGATGGTGTAAGGTCAGGCTCCTCAGAATTGGCAAGTACATCATGAAGCTGATTATGAATGTTAGAAAGCGTTTCGAAGAAAGAGAGGTTGTCGAGGACTTACATGACTACGTTGTTGGAGAATTGTCTGGATCTGTGAGGGTGAATAAGTTTTGAGGTCTTTGCTGCTGATTTCGTCGAAGAAACTGAATCTTGATCTACGTGCCTCTGGTCCACGTGGTCGAGGAGAAGTTGGTCTTGGGAAAATATCGCAAAGATCATCGAGTTTCTCTTGACTCTTCATCAATGTCAATGAACCATCCTAAGCAGATAAGGTATTGTTTCGGTGAAAACTTACTGCGTGTCCATGATCCATATCATCCTCTAACATAAGTTCCCGATCCTGAGTACATCTCCAAACCCAGCCAAACGAACCTTCTCGAAAGCAAATGCCACATCGAAACTCTTTGGTGAAGAGTCGCGTGGTAGTCAAATGTGTGCATTGCACATTTCTTGTAACTTGTGCAGTGCGCCTGGTATTCTCTGCCAAAGCAGGCAAAGAATGCCGATTTGTATTGGTTGGCATTGCAGTAGTCATTGAGGAGACAATACCGGCTGTAGATGCTGATGTACGTCGAACTGGTAACTTTGAGGATCGGGTTGTAGTATGGCTTGTAGTATTTGTTGTTGATTTGGTTGCTGCCATGATTTGTGTTGGGAGGACCAAGAAGCTCCAACAAACACTTTGAGAAGATTTAAATTGAAATGAGGGAACGATTCACTATCAAGGCTTGGAAATGTCTGAACATGAAGTTGTTCAATTGAATGGATGGACTTCTTGAGATGGATATAGAAAGATTGAATTCGAGGTTGATTGATCGAATATATTAGTACCTAGGTAGGTTGTAAAAGGATTTTCTTATTATTTCCCCAAACCAAGACCAATCTTGACTCGCTTCGAGAGTAAAATTCTGAGTATTTGCCCCAATTTTCTTAGAGAAGATATAACCAATAGGCACGGAGACAAGAAGATATCAAAAATGAAAGATGAAAAAGTGAATTATAACTGCAACGATGTATTTCCATATAGAAATTAGGTTGAGATGAAAACCAACCATCCATATCATTGCTGTTATCATTGCTGTTATCACTCCTGTTATTGGATGGCTCTGTTCAGCTCATTGGAGTTTGAAAAAGGAAAGTGTCGCATTCAAAAAATGTCATTTTTGATAATTCTTACACCCACAACCAGCTGTGTGGGAGATAATCGTTCTTACCATTCTAATAAAAGGTCCAAGCAATTTTCAAAGTGGTCTGATCAAAACATCAACCAAGTTGAAAATTGGTCTTGATGATTTTCGTACCAAGGGAGGAAAGGATAGAAAATAAAGTGCACTGTTGCTATCCTCTGTCTTCTGTCTTCTGTCTTCTCTCCTCTCTCCTCTCTCCTCTCTCCTCTTCCCTCATCCAACCTCACCCAGCACTTACCCGAGCCATTTACTTACTTGGTACACTTGCCATGCCTGATCAACTCCAGCATTCAATCCCACTCGCAAATCATCATTAATACTGCTTACGCATATATATTTGATGCGATTATGGAGAGATAATTTTCTGAAATACGATTTCTCAGAGCTCTGCTGAGCGCAGGAGTTTATTTTTATATTTGCTCTTCGGGGGTTTTCAACATGCAAGCTTCAACCGATTTTCTTTTGGAATGAAAGCTGCAACAATGCTACTTCAACCTGCTCCGAATTACTCTGCAGCTTTGGACATCTGCACTCAAAGAGCGTACTTGGCGAATTCTCTTGCAAGTTGCAATTGTTCTTATAATCCTAAGAATGGTCAAAGTTCCTTCCATGGATATTTTATGAAAGTTCGGATTTATGCTTCATGATGCAACCCAGAATTCAAGGAACGGTTGAAGATCTGGCTGGACGAGTGTCAGGATAGATAAATTGCCATCTTGTAAGGATCAAACTCGAGCATACGGTACTGTACCTCACAACACGTAATCATACATGATGACAGGACGAATACGCTGGATGGATCAATGGATGGTTCCATTAGCATGAAGCTATAATGGTGTATGGGTTTTGGAGTGCTTTATCAGTTCCAAGTTGCAGAGATTTCAACTGTGATGTCTCAAAACTTGGACAATTTTTGTCATTCCAGTCCCACACGTGTCTCTCATTTGATCATCCCATCATTCATAAAATTCTAGACTTCGTGAGCGAGTAGGCGTTTATATGGAGATGTACCAAACAATATTCTTGAGCTTGAGCTGGCCAATGCACGAACCTGGGGTAGATCTATGTGAGGAGATATCAATTGGGAGCGGAATGATCGTTATTTGTTCATTTCGAGAGAGTGGGAGTGGGAGTGGGTGGAGAAGCGAGAGGAGCAAAGATGATAGGAAGCAACAGTGGAGCGAGAGGAGAAGGGGATGCTGTATGAGGTGATGAAGTGGATGAAGTGGATGATTGAAATGAAATGAATGATATGATATGATATGAATCAAACCTGAAGACCTAGCGACGCTCTAACATAACGTTATATGGAGACGGAAAACGACAACTAATTAAAAGAAAGCAGCATGGTGACCCTACGGCATATCTATCTTAGCACGTCCTTGGAATTCCTGTACCTTGAATACCCTTAAATACCTGCTGAGTGGTACCTCGGACCGTCTACTCAAAACATGACCCCTTCGTATCTTTTAATATTAATTCCCAGAGAAGGACCATGCGGGCGGCAAAAGGCTTTTGACTTTCGTTTTCTCATCAAACATTATTATAATTTATTATTCCTAATTCGATACGCACATCCACATCTGTCTTCACAAGTTCATTCTCGGGGTTTAAGGTATTCAATAGGGTTGCGTGGCGTTTGAATGGTGTTGGAAGTGAAGGCGATCCGAATTTCGAACAGAAACCGAAGAGAGAGAAGGAGCGAGAGAAAAGAAGCACCATCGTCACCATCATCATTATCATCAATATCATCATCATCATCATCATCAATATCATCATCATCATCATCATCAATATCATCATCATCATCATCATCAATATCATCATCATCATCATCATCATCATCATCATCATCATCACTCATTCATTCAACCACTTCGACTCTTATTAATCAACGCTCGATTACGTTCTCTTATCTCGACTCGACAGTCTTTTGTTGCTTTATATCGTATATCCTGTATCTTGTATCTTGCGCCTTGCATCGTGCACCTTGCATACTCTCTATTCGGTGAGAACTAGATAACTTTTTCAAGCCAGACCAAATCCTTGTTAACCCGCTAAATCATTTAGATCAATCTCCGCACTTCCCATCCCATCCTATCCTATCCTATCCTATCCCATTCCATTCCCGTCCCATCCCAATCAAATTGCAACTCAGAGTCGGATTCAAATTCAAATTCAAATTCAAATCAGTACTGAACTCACACTTACTGGAGGTCAGCTAGTATTACCTTCGCCGTACTAGGTACTATTAATGCGTCAAACTCAAAGCGAGTCCATAATATTCCATCGCCATTAATACACATATATCCATCCATCCTTCCTTCCTACCACCTCACCTACCTACCTACCTACCTACCTACCTACCCTACACCCTGTTGATATCCGACCCGAGAAAGCCTTTTCTTGACCTGACCAGCTACCTAGCTTAGCTACTTTTTTTCCTGCCACCAAAAATCCCTCCTCTCTCCTCTTTCTCACTCAGCCCAGCCTCCAACGACTAAAACCTTTTGGGCCAACAAATCTCAATTGGTTGTGCAAGAGAATAATAAACATCGTGTCAACAAATTTTACTGCAATTACTTGTACATCAATAATACATAATATCCCCCCCCCCGACAAAAAGGTCAGTTCACTTTAATCCACACCCCGCATTATTCCCAAACAATAGGCACAGAGAGATAAAATCTATTTATCCATCTATCCATTCTCTTGCGCAATTATTAGTCCTCAAGAGAAGAAGAGGGGGCCCTGTCTGCGCCTCGATCCAGAACTCTTAACTGTTCCAATTACCTTGGCTCACCTCGGCTCCCGCATCATAAACAACGAGCGTGAGAAAGAGAGCGAGAAAGAGAGCTTGTTTCTTCTTCTCCTCATCTCTTCAACTTCCCGATATCATCGTCTGAATCAAACAAGTCGCATTCACGAGTGTTCACGAATTTTCATACTAATTAATTGTTCAATTAAATAGCTTCCGAGGGTTTGAATGACCTCTCACCCATCACAATGTCGGTCAAATTCGAGAAAGATACCATAAAGACCACCGGTCCTCTTGCAGGAATACAAGGCGTGCCAGCGATCGATGTCAAGGAAGTTCATCATCACCACCACCTACCAGGCCATCACTTAAGACACAATGTTGGTGTCGCATTAACTGGAGGCAAAGCCAATGAAGGAACACGAGGATATCTATCTGTGAGCCATTGATCTTGGGGAAACCACCCATCGCGCAATCAAATTTCTCTGTCACTAATCATGTTATCTTTCAATAGATGTATCTCAAAGAGCTACAAACCAATCCTCTTCGTACGAAAATGCTTACCTCTGGCACATTATCGGCCCTACAAGAACTTTTGGCCTCATGGATCTCGAAGGATCGTAACAAGGATGGCCACTATTTCACGTCTAGAGTACCCAAAATGGCTGCATATGGTGCTTTCATCAGTGCTCCCCTAGGCCATGTATTGATCAGTATTTTGCAAAAGATATTTGCTGGACGTACGAGTTTGAAGGCCAAGGTTCTTCAAATTCTTTTGAGCAATTTAGTTGTAAGTTCAGCTCGTTTGTTTATTATGTAAACAAAGCTAACGATTGATCAATCAAGGTTGCTCCAATTCAAAATACAGTGTATTTGATCTCAATGGCACTTATTGCAGGCGCAAGGACTATTCATCAAGTACATGCGACTTGGAGAGCTGGTTTCATGCCAGTTATGAGAGTCAGCTGGATTACTTCTCCTCTCGCTCTAGCTTTCGCACAGAAATTCCTTCCCGAGCACACTTGGGTTCCATTCTTCAACGTCATTGCTTTCACCATCGGAACCTATGTGAACGCGACCACAAAGAAGAAGCGTCTCGCAGCTCTTCGCAAGAGACACTACGATGAGACTCGAGGAGGAAGACCCGACGACTACCCTGGACCACATGGTGGACCAGGAAGAGAAATGGGAGGACCAGGACAGAAACGCGACTACTAATTTTACGAAGGGACGAAGGGGAAGGGGGTCATTAAGATCAAATAGCACAACATGAACCAAATTCGGCTGTGCTTATTGTCGCAAATTTTCCTTATCATAATGTATTTTCGGTTCACGGATCTCAATTTGGCACGAGGTCAGATTTACTGGTTATGGGTGGCGACCGCTTGCAGATATCCTTGTGGTCCATGCGAGGCCTTGCTTGCTTCTTTCTCGGGGGGCACAATACCACGTAAAAAGCCTCACCTCACCTGTTGTATAGTTTTTACGATTTCATTGGTTATAGGTAGAAATGAATGGGCGTTTGCTTGTCAATCTCTTCCATCTGAATGTGAATGCTAGGTAATACTTGGGTGGATTGGGAAAAGCAATCTGCCGAAGGCACCCTGTTATTTAACACGTCGCCTTTGTGGGATGCGATTGCTACATGACATGAAGACGGAAAGGTAAGTCATATTCTTGTCATTTGTCGTTAACACCCAAACACAACATATGATTACAATAACGGGTGTTCTACGATATTACTGAGAGGCAAAGCCATGGACGGGAGAAAAGGATCAGGATAAAGTCGAAGCGATTCTCTGTATCTCAATTTTTCGGTACATACGTTACTTCTTACATCATTTTAGTTTGACCTTTGAACGAAAACATTGGAGTCTGCTTGAACTTTTAACAAACGCACGCTTTATTCTTCGCCACTCTCTCTTACTCCTCACAACTCTCGTTCTATACACTGTTCACCCAATACTTACTACTCACTACTTTTGGCTCGCTTCGCTCATAACACTCGCAAGCCAGCCCACTCAGTTTCAACACAACTTGGGGCAATGTCAGCATTGATACCTTTATCCTCATACGTCTCTCCACGAGCACGCGTCCTCTCACCATCTGATCGATATCCCGGTGGTGCCAGGGGAAACGCCCATCACGGACCTCTCCTACGCAATTCTTTCGATAATGGCTATAATGCCCTCGGAGGAGGTGCTATGATACCTGTCCCTGTATTCGGCGCCCGAGCCGGACATGGAGCACTTGCTCGTGGAGGTGGCGCTGGAAGAAACTACAATGATATGAACATGAACATGAACATGGTCGTGCCGATTAGGAGAGGAAGTGTAGATATTTCCTACCATGGAATTCCACACGCACATGGTCATCCACTAATGGATCCGCGCATGCGACACGCACCGCAAGTACAAGTTGTAGATCCCTCGGCTATGTTTAGGGATCCGTGGAGAGGTGGGGTGGTAGCGGGGTGTACGCAGGAACCTTATACATGTCCCTGCCACGAATGTGAAGTTTTGCGTTTGCCCCTTGCGCCGTTGGCGGTCGGTTGTCATCATGATAATCGTGGACATTCACATGCGATGGATCTGCATAATCATTGTTGCTCTGGGGGTGGAGGACATAAGGAATCTGCATCGTCTTCTTCCGGGGGTGGGAGTAAGGAAAAATCTAATTCGGGAGGTGGAAGTGGAGGTGGAGGTAGTGGAGGTAGTGGAGGTAGTGGAGGTAGTGGAGGAAGTAACAAGAAAGAATACGGATTCCCAACAAAAGATATCGTGATTCGCGGCAAAACATATTCGTGTCGGAAATCTTTTCTCGCCGATCAAGCTAAATTCGAAGATTCCCTCGTCAAAATGATGGAAAAGAAAAAAGAAGATGAAATCCCAAATACCGTTCTCGATTCCCTCTTCTCGTGCATTAATGAAGAAAAAATCCTCTCTTCGGCTTCGGCCCACGATCTCGTTACGCTTAATGTGCTTTCTTCCTCGCTGGGTATCAAGAGCGTGATGGAGAAATCGCTCGCGCAGTTGAAGAAACAGTGTTCGGATAATATTGTGAGTGGGAGTACTCTGACGGGGATTGTGGTGACGATTATGATGAGCTCGAAGGTGGATGAGGGTTTGAGGGAGTGGTTGAAGAAATATATTAAGGGGTGGGGACTGTGGGAGGAGTTGCAGGGGTTTGCGATGTATATCAGGTGTGTGGAGGATCATCCGGAGATTCATACGGGGTTGCTTGAGTTGTTGGGGTTGAGGAGGAAGGCGGATGGGGAGGGGTATAGGATTATTTAGGGGAGGCGAGGGTGGGGAATGGGGATGGGTATTTGGTGGAGTGGAAGAGTATAATGATGAGGTGGAGAGGTGGAGAGGGAGGAGGAAAATAAGAGGAAAATCCTTGAAGTGATAATCAAACAGGACAGGACAGGACAGACTGGAAAAACAAGTGATGTCATTTCTGCCATAAAACAATGGATCAAGATGAAAGAAGAGGAAGGGTAAGAATAATGTTCTGTAAGTAGTCAGTCAGTCAGGCAGTCAGGAAGTCAGTCAAATACGCAGTGAGTAGTATCGTATCGTATGGTAGGTATAGTATAGTAGGTATACTTGATAGGTAATGTTTTAATTGTATGCTAGTTTATTTTGGTATATTGTGTTATGTTATTTGGTATTATTTGGTGTGTTGTGTGAAGATCTTTGGTCTTGTACTTGTACTTCTATTTGGACTTGTATTGGGTAGGGTAGGTGGTTCTTTGCTTTGATATTGGGTTGATTTTGTAGGTGTAGGTGGTGTAGATGTGCTGAGTGGGGAAGATTGATGAAGAAAGTGCTAGGTGGGGTTTTTGTTTTGGGTATTGGGTATTGGGTATTGGGTGTTGGGGGTTTGGGAGGAGGAGGAGGAGAAGATTGTCTGGCTGATTTGAATAAGTGGTTCACATGGTGTAGATAGGTGTTTTATAGTAGGTCTTTTACTATTACTAGGTATATACTACTATTGCTGGTGGTGATAATGTATTAGGACTGATACTGCTATACTGCTATACTGCTATTGTCTAAATCTTATTTATCTAGTTTGTAGAGATGGATACTCTAATGCCTCTCTAA